CATGGCACCCAAAGGCGGCGAGGTGCTGTTGGATTGCCGATTGCCGCGGGCCAATCAGAAAATTGGTCATGGGGGAGGTATTATTCTGGGGCCCGGACGCCCATTTTTACCTCGAGCCATAACAACAGCTCGGGGCGGCAAGGGTCACGCGCTGGCGCAGAGGGTGTGGCTGGAGCTGTGGTGGCCGGCGATGCGTGAGAGCGAGCAAGAGACAGAGAGAGCCTGGAGGTGTGAGGTGAGGTGAGGTAGCCTGGAGAGGCACGGAGAAGGCATGAGCTTCTGGGGCGTCCCGGGGAGGAACCCGCAGCACGCGGTTGGCAGATTCCGCCATGTGCGCGTGCGTGTGTGCGTGTTGCGTGTGTCGTCGCATGCAGGCACAACGGTCTCGGGGTGACCGTCCCGTCTGTCGCAAGCAGAACGGGGAGACAAGAGGGCGAGCGCGCATGATCGCGATGGATCATGGTGGTGGGCAGCAGAGAGACAAACACTCGCCCGGCAGAAGGTCGAGAAGGGCCAGAGGCAACGTGCCAAAACGGGACGTGTGGCGCTGCCCGCAGGGTCGGAGCTAGCGGCGTCGAGACACACCCGCCGCTGGTGCTGCCTCCTGTCGCAGCCGGGAACGGCAGCTCTGGCGTTCGGTAGCGGTAATAATAAGGTGAGGTGAAGGCAAGACAGGCAACCTTGAAGGTAAAATGTGGCAGCGCTGCAGCCCAGGATGCAGGCAAAGCAGGGGTGGTCTGGTCCGCTCCACAGCTTCTCGCACTGCGGCAGCGGACGCTGGACCCCAACACGCTGGCACTGGGCGGCGGGCTCGCGGGAGGCGATGGAGGTGAATGAGATGGTGGGTGGTGGTGGTGCCCCGTCCTGCGCGTGGTGGTGGTGGTGGCGGTGGTGCGGTCTGCTGGCCCGGGTGCTGCCCGCCCGCCCGTCAAGCGCGGGCATACCCAGACCCCCCCGGACCCCCCGTCCCAGCGCAGGCGCAGGCGCGGCGCTGGGCTCGCACTCACACGCCGCCGCAGAAAGAGCTACTGATTGCGGCCCTCCCCCCGCCCGATATATAAACAAGCCCCGTTCCCTCCACGCGCCCGACCTTGGTCGCTCCCGTTTCCTGCCCCTTCCTTTGGTTCCGCAAAAGCTCTGCTCGATCTCGACTCGCCTGCCTCCATCCGACTCAAAACAAGCCTCGCCTTGTTTTCCATCTCACTGCAAACGCTTTCCAGCCCGTCCACCGCTTCACGCTCAATCATCACCATGCCTCCCAAGAAGGCCGAGGGCACCACTGCCTCCAAGCCCAAGTCGGGCTCGACGCACGCCAGCTACCAGGTCCGTCGCAAGCCGAGTCCTTTTGGGTCGTGCTTCAGACTGCTAACGCACCGCAGGACATGATTACCGACGCCATTGTCAGCGTACGTCTCGCAGTCCCCGCGTTTGCGGCGCATCACCCGTGTCGCCATTTGCGTCGGGTGGTGCCGAGTCGCTCTCACGTCCTCGGCACCGCGCTGTCGCGCGCATGCACCCGCTCTCACCCCGTCTCATGTCCTTCTCACTAACGCGCTGTTTTTCTATCCAACAGCTCAAGGATCGCAATGGTTCCAGGTATGTCGATCGCGTCGTCGCCGCGTCTCGTCCTCGTCGCTAACACGTCCCGCAGCCGCCAGTCGCTCAAGAAGTATGTCAAGGCCAACAACCAGCTGAATGTTTCGGACAACATGTTCGACTCGCTCTTCAACAAGGCCCTCAAGAACGGCGTGGAGAAGGGTGTCTTTGCCCAGCCCAAGGGCCCGTCCGGCGGCACCAAGCTGGCCAAGAAGAAGGCCGAGCCCAAGAAGCCCGCGGCTAAGAAGGAGGGCGCCGCCAAGAAGCCCGCCGCGAAGAAGGCTGCTCCCAAGAAGGCTGCCGCTCCCAAGGGCGAGAAGAAGGCCGCCACGGCCAAGAAGCCCGCGGCCCCTAAGAAGGCGGCCACCGCGAAGAAGCCCGCTGCTGCTGCCAAGGTACGACGGCCTCGTGCATCGACGCAGACTCGGTTTACTGACTTGAGAACAGCCCGAGAAGCCTGAGACGGTCCTGACCAAGACGAAATCTGGACGCGTCGCCAAGGCGCAGAAGCCTGCGTCGGCCACCAAGAAGGCCGCGCCCAAGAAGGCGGCAGCTCCCAAGAAGGCGACCACGGCCAAGGCGTAGAGGCGCGTCCCGGCACGGGTTTAGGTCACTTTATCACGATGTCTACGGCGTTACGGGTTGCAATTTTCTAAGGGCACGGATTGGGAGAGCACGGGTCACCTGGGATTTGTCGTTTGATGGGCGGTCGGGAGCGCAGGAACAAGTCTTGTTGTTTTGCACGCGCACGTGCGGGGGGACACGGCGGCTTTTCTCACATGCATGCGTCGGCATTCCTGCTGCTGAGCCTCGCGCCGCCGGAGCAGCGTCGGTCAGCGTGCTCGCGACGCTCCGGACAAGGCTGTTGAGGGTTCTACGAGTACTCAACGGCATGTCGGGGGCGACGTGGCTGCTTTGGAGTTTGGGCGTGGTTCCCTGAGACTTGGGCGCGGACGCGGCCTCGGCCAGCGTGTAGCAATCTGTAATTATACCATCGGACCGGGGAAGCGGAATGAGACGCAATGATACTTTCCAACCTTTGCTGCCTTGTTGTGCGCGCGCGTCTGGGTGGTGCGAGACGAGACGCGGTTGGCGTCTTTGTTTACATTTGTGTGCATGGGGCGGGACGGCTCAGGGGTGTCACGTGCCACTTACACGGAATGGCGCGCGACCGTCTGGTGCGAGTGAGACGAGGAGGAGCTGGTGAGTCTGCAAGCGTTGGTGAGGCTGCACACCGGAGTGACCACCGTTTTCAAGGAATTCAATCGCATGCGCCGATACGGTGGACTTGTCGTGCATGAGCAGGCAAACGCCATCTCCGAGTCGAAGCGACTGCGAACGAAGCTGTTCCCTGCTGTTCCCTCGGATGCAAGACCTCATGCACCGTTCAGCAGCCACGAACACGGCAAGCCACCTGAGCGGTTTTTTGCTAAGCGTGCCGGTCGCCGTTGAGAAACTTACGACAGCCCAAACGGTATGAAATGACATCACAAGGGCTCACCTTGAGGCTGTCTGTGAAGCGCCTCTCACGCTCACGCCCGCGCTCATTGCTCATGGGTAGGTAGGCTCAATGCCGCCCACTCAACTCACTCATAGCCATCGCTGGGGTTGACTGAGCGGATTAACTGAGTTACTACATCGGCCTGTGCCGCTCACTGACTGCCTGCCTGCTTGCCTGCCTCCACACCTCTGCACGTAGAGAAGTGAGAGAGGCATTGCGTGTTCACCCCCTCCTCCTTCGACCGGTTGTTCCGGGGCGCCGCTCATGCACATACATGCACGTGGGAGGCGGCCCACGCCAGGGGCGCTCGCACGCACACGCGCGCGTGAGCAAGACAAAGTCGCTTGGTTTATTGCTTTGTTTCTGGGGCGCGCCGCGGCGCGGGTCTGGCTGGTTCCGGGCAGCTGGTTGCTGGACAGGAAGCTAAGGTACCTAGCAGCACTCGGGGCATTTGCTGCTGTCTAGCAGAGGTGGAGCGGCGCGGGCGGGCATGCAGACTCGCGTCGAGAGCGTGGAAGGGGGTTCCACCGCGAGAAACGTCTGGCGCCTCTGTGCTAGCTGATCGGCTCCACTGCGTCCCTTATTACCAGAAGAGCTACCGTGGACGGGGACCCGTCAGGCTGCAATGCCGTCGGCGCCGAGGGGGCCTGCGCCGCCCGCTGGGAAAGCAGTCTGCAACGGCTGCCTGCGGGCCCTTAAGGAGCACTGAGGTGCGAAGCTGGATGGAGCTGGCCGCCTGCCATCCATGGTACCGCTGGTGCCGCAGTGGGCACGCGCACACATGGGGGTACCTAGGTTGCCTACTTACTGGACAGCAATTACCACCCGTGCCGGTAGCTCCAGCTGCCTCGGACTCCCGGTCCCCCCCCATCCTTCACTGACAGGTCAACGCGCCACCTTCTGGCGGAGCATCCCGTGGCACAGCAGCTCCCCTCAGCTCACGGCATCCCACCGAGGGGCAGCAGCAGCAGCAGCAGCAGCAGCAGCACCGCAGCAGCACCGCGGCACCACCCAGCCCAGCCCAGCGACACCACCTCATCGTCGTCCTCCACCATCCCGTCCCGTCCTCCCTCCGATCCCCCGACACTCCCGGCTTTCTCATCTGCCGGACGCCTCGCTCGCAACCCGCGCAGAGCAACGCGCACGCACGCACCCCTCCCCGCCTGCTGCTGCCGTTGCCGACCGTATAACCTCTCATCAGAGCACAAAAGGACCGCTCGTCGCCCGCCAGCCGCCCCCGGCCCCCCCGGCGCGCCCGCGCCCGCCGCCCGTCATGTCGTCGAACCCGTTCCGCAAAAAGGCGCTGCAGGCCATCGACACGGGCCGCGCCCAGTCCCCCGCCAAGTCGAGCCTGCGCAGCTCCTCGTCCAACTCGCCGCTGCCCGCCGCGGCTGCCCTCGACGGCAGCGATGCCACCCTCGACTCGGACGGCCTCAGGCGGCCCAAGCCCGTCAAGAAGGTCCGCGTAATGTCCCCGCCGCCGCTGTCCCCCGACTCGCCCGAATGGCCGCGCAGCAGCGCCCCGTTCTACGAGTATCCGCCGCCGCCCGGCGCTGCTCTTGGCCCCGACCCCGCGTCCGCCTATGCCTTTGCCCCCGGGCCCGGGGATCCCTTCAACGGCGTGCCCTTCTCTGTCGACGACGAGAGCGACCGCGAGACCGCCAGCAGCACGGCCACGCCTCCTCCGCCCCCGAGGCCGCCCCCGGCCGCCGTCAAGGGGCGCAACCCAGGGGCGCCGGTTGCGGCACCCGTGCCCGTCTCGACACCTACATCCTCGTTGGAATCCGCGCCGCCGTCAGCCGTGTCGGCGGCTGGAGTTCCCCCGAACCCCTTCAGCAAGACGTTGCAGGATCTGGAGCAGTCGCGGGAGCTCGATGCGCAGCAGCGCAGCGAAGGGGAGGCGCTCAAGGCCGGTAATGCGGCCGCCCGGCAGTCCCTCAACGTGGACTCGTTCCGGCGGCTGCTCATGACTGGCAAAGCGGACGACGATGATGCGGCTAGGAAGCAGGACGACTTGGTCGAGGCCAAAGCTCGTCCGGCAGAAGGCGCCGTGGACGACTCGTCCGAGTCGACCGACTATACTACAACGGAAGACGAGGCTGGGCGCACGTTATCATCGAGTCCGAACCAGCAAAAGACGTCGAAGGAGAAGAAGGCGCCGCCGCCGCCGCCGAGCTCGCGGCATGGCAAATCCCTCAAGGATGACGCAGCCGCACACCTCGCCCCGGCGACGGCGGCATCCACAGACATCAACAAGCCGCTGCCCATATCGCCCGTGCGGAGAAGCTACGACGACGAGTCCCCGTTCGACCGCGAGTCCGCGGGCAAGGTGCCGGAGCCGGAAGAGGAGCCGGAGAGGAAGGCTGCGGAGGAAGCAGAGCCCTCGGCGCAACCACCCACCACACCTGCCAGGCAGCCCAGCACGAGAAAGTCGGCGCCGGCTCCCCCGCCGCGGAGAGGCCACACCCGCTCTGATACCCGCTCCGAGTCACAACTGCCGCAGCCGCAGCACGATGTCCCGGCGAGGACATCGACAGACGAGGGCACGCCGAGGCAACCCACTCAGGCGCCGCTCCCACCTCCGCCGCGGAGACCGTACGCGGCACCGCGGCAGACGTCGTCGCAGAGCGGCACCGCGGCGCACGTCGCCCAAGCAGCCGCCTCCACACCGTCCTTGCCTCACTACTACGAATCCGATTCTGACAGAGCTGCGGCAGCGTCGGATGCTACCCCCGCGGGAAGCAGCCCCAGCGCGGGCAAGGTCACCTCTCCGCGGCCGCCCGCCCCGCCGCCCGCGCGCAACTCGTCTGTGCGACAACGACCCCCGAGCGTGAGCAGCGTCGACGGCATCAGCAGGCGCATCTCGAGCGAGGCGCCGCCGCGGACGTCTCGCGACGGGGCACCCCCGCATCTGGGCCCGCCACCGCCGCCACCGCCCAAGAGGCAGAGGGGCAACAGCTCGAGCAGCAGCATCGACCCGAGGAGGACGAGCGGCGAGAGCGCGTCCCGGCCGCAGCTCCAGCACCCGCAAGGGGGAAGTTCGGGCAAGGGCGTGGACATCCTGGCGGACCTGGACGCGCTGCAGCGAGAGGTGGATGCCCTGCGGGGAAAGATGAGGTAGATTGGGAGGGCTACCATGTTCCCTCCCCCGCGCGAGATGTGTAGTGGACATGAGCATGGGTGTGGCAGACTTCTCACAATATAGAAACCCGGGCGGTCGTGGATGGACCGGTCCGGGGATCCGCGGTTGTACAATACTGGAGATAGTGTTGAACGGGGGAATATGCAAGTCATGCCGCGCGGCAAAGGGCCTCATGCAACGGCGACTCTTGCTTCGTAACGTACACTACCTGCTACAGTCAAAAGCCCCTGCGACTCTACAGGGTCGACTTCTCCTTTCCCCCCCAACGCCCATCCTAAAGTACACGCCGTCCAAAGTCATTTCGTCCAGCCCCTTTCTACGCGAGGCCTGTGGTAAACTTGCTCTCAAAACGCACACGGCCCTGGCCGTTTTTCAATCCTCATTACCCAACCTTGAGCTCTCCCTCCCCCCCCAATCACGATTCAGGCGCTGGCTGCGGCGACTGTTGCTGCGGCGCTGGCTGCTGCTGTTGCTGTTGCGGTTGCTGTGGCTGCGGTTGCGGTTGCGATTGCGGTTGCGGCTGCGCCTGCTGTTGAGGTTGCGCGCCGGGAATCACGGGCACGGGCACGGGCGTCACCTTTTGCGGCGGCACAAACGCCGACGCCGGCGTCCCGTTGGGTCCGCGTTGGCCCAGCGGCGTCTGCGGCTTCTGCTGCTGGTTCGGCCGCGCCGCCATCATCCCCGGGCTGCCGTATCCCATGCCCGGGGTGCCCGGCTGCACCATCTTGTCCGTAAACATGGCGGACCGCTCCTGCGCCGCCACCCGCGCCTTGGCCTGGTCCAGTATCCGCTGCTGCTGCGCCTCCGGAATCACCGTGTGGTAGCCCGTCAGCCCGGGCTGCTGGATCGGCTGCTGCCCCATGGGTTGTCCGGCACTGTTGCTCGGGTACCTGTTCATCGGCGTCTGTCCTTGGACGGGCGTTCCGTACCGCTGTTGCTGCTGCTGCTGCATGGTCGGCGACGGGCTGAACTGCGGACGCTGCTGGTGCGGCGGAACCTGCGGCGACATGGTCCGCGGCGGCATGGCCCCACCGTTCGTGTATGCTCCGTAGCCAGGCTGTCCTGGCGTCCCAGGCTGGTGCGGGTAGCCCTGAGGATACCCAGGGAACCGCGCGTTCGGCGTGCCTTGCTGCGGGTGCTGCGGGTGCGGGGGTTGCGGCTGCATCTGCATCTGCGCGTACTGCGGCCGCGGCTGGTTCGCATACTGCGGCATGTTCTGGTGGCCGTACGGCGTCTGTGCCTTCGCGAGCTGCGTCGCATACTGATTGGGGAACCCGTTCGGCCGGCTGTACTGATTCGGCTGCGGCGGCCGGGGCTGATGGGCAGACGGAGGAGGCGCGATGTTGCGTGGCTGCTGGAAGTTGGGCGGCGCCGGCCCCGGGCGGTAGTACTGCTGCGGGTGCACCGGCGGCCGCGTCGGCGTGCCGTACTGGTTCGGTCCCTGGTGGTACTGCTGGCCGTAGGGCGTCGAGATGCTCGGCGTCCGTTGGCCGGGCGGCCGGGCGTTGACCTGCGCCGCTTGCTGATGCTGCTGCTGAGCTTGTGCTTGCTGCTGCGCCTGCTGTTGGGCCTGCTGCTGCGCCCGCATGCGCGCCTGCATTCCGGCCTCGTCCTCCTCCATGACGCCGTGGTACTGGTCCGTCTGCACCTGGACCTTTGTGCTGATGAGGAGGTCGTCGAGCTGGTCGCCGTTGAGCTTGGCCACTGCGTACGGCGGCAGCGTCTTGATGATGAGCGCGAGCTGCGCCTTGAGCGCCTGGTACGTCACCTGCTCCTCCTCCGACGGCTGCGGACCGGCCGTGGCCAGCATGTCGCCCGTGACGGGGTCGCTGGACTGGCGGTTCTGCGAGTTTGGCAGCGTGAGGTTGCGAATCCGCTGGTACGAGGCCAGCGTCTCGATCAGGTCGCTGACTTCGTCGAGCACATCGTCCACCTCCTTTTCGTGGTCGTCCTTCTTGGCACCCATGACATCGTCGAGCGACGGGTCGACGACCGAGTCATCCCACTCGTCGATTGCCTCCTGCACCGCGGTTTCGTCCAGCTCGGGCAGCTCCCCGTCCCGCGCGTCCTCCTCGTCGCCGTAGTACTCCACCTCGACCATGCGCTGGAAATTGCGCTGCCCAACCTTTTGCCACCACATCCGGCCGGCGAGGCTCGACGGCACCACCGCCGCGCTGTCATCTTTGCAGGGCGCGAAGCTCGAGAAGGCGCCGCGGAACAGGGCTTCCATCTCCGACACCTCGAGCTCCGACGCAGACGGCTTCTTACCGGCCAGGCTCTGCGCGCGCTCTCGCTGCTTCGTCTTCGTCTGAGACGACGGAGTGGCGTTGCTGTAGTCGAGATAGTAGCCGGCAGTGAGCTTCGTCGTGTAGTAGCAGTTTGTCCGGTACGTAGACGTGTCCGTCAGCTCTGGGTGGTAAAAATCGAGCATGTTGCCCTTGGCTTGCGTCTTGGGTTGCTTCGGCGGCTGCAGCGGCGGCAACGGCCGTGGAGGCGCAAACAGCTCGCCGATCGTTTGCGTCCTGCTCTGGGGGCTGGAGGGCATGACGTGTGACAAGGTGACGCCGGGCGGGAGGCTGAAGCTGGACAGGTCGACGTCGCGCGACAGCGGCAGACTCGAAAACAGCCGCCGCTCCTGGGGCGCGTAGCCCATGACGGAGAGCACGGCGCCGCCCCTGTCGGACGCGGCTTGTGCGTCGTCGTCGCCGCCGGGACCGGGCCCCGCCGCCGTCTTCGGATACGCCCTCTCGCGGTTCAGAAGTTCCAAGGCCTTGTTCTTGAAGCCGCGGATCTGGGACGCGGCCTTTTCTGATGCGGCCTTTGCGGAGCCGACGGGGGACCCGGATTCGAGCTCCGACAATGCCAACTTGACGGCCTCAAGCACGTCGCTCGCCATGTCGTCGATGTGCGCGTACTTGGCGGCCGCGACTTTGTCCGAGATGGTCGACGGCGCCGGGGGCTCGGCCGACTTTTGTCGCTTCGCCTCGGGCTCATCTTCGGACAGGGGATCGGACAGCGGGCGCTTGAGGATGGATGGCCCGACATCGAGGCTGCCGGAGATGGCGGTTAGCACGACGACGCGACGTTTGCAGGGCGTCGCCTCGAGAGGCGCGTGGCGGGCGGAGAAAATGCGACTCACCTCTTCAATACCGCATAGTACGATTCTATAAGGTCCTTTCGGCTGCCGGCAGCCCACGGGTGCGATGCATCAGGCTTCTGGTCGACGGGGTCGCCCTTGACGTCGACGCCGTCGTCAGACACGTCGCGTTTTCGCTTGCCAGGAACGGCGAGGTGGTCGTTGGAGTCGCTGCCGGGCGTTGACACGCCGTTTGGCTCGAGCGCGGCGGTTGGCTGCGCCATGGTCGGTCTTTGGCGTCGGGGTCCCAGCGGTGATGCTCGCCGCGCCTCGTCGCGATACGCGGTAGCGGGTCGAGAATGGCAGATTGGTGCGACTCTCCAGACTAAGCCCTTTCATCAAAAGGGCCGCGCCAGCACCGCGTCCGCATCCAACTCTGGCCGTGCAATCGGGGGCCGCGCTTCCGTACGGGCGATCCGAGGTGCCTCGGGCGAGGAGAGCAATTTTTTTACACGTCGTGCGGGCGGCGGCGAGGCGTAATGCGCGAGGGGGCTGCCTCAAGGGAAGAGTGTATCGCCAAGTGAGCAAGCAGACGGGACTGGGGGACTCGGGCTGGCACCTGCGCTAACGCTCTTCGCGGAAAAGCTAAAATTGCCTTGCACGTGACCTGGCCGGTGCCACAGGCGGCCTACCCTAGAGCTCGTGCGCATGTGCTGAACCGCGCAGCTTGCTTTGTGCTGTGTTGAGTACGGGAATGATTGCATGCTGGATTGATCCAATGAGTAATTTGCGAAGTGGAGGTTTCTGTCAAGTCATGTATGCGTGCAGCGACGTTTGTGGTGCAGTCTCCGAACAGTCCGCCATCTCATGCCCCACGCACATCTTCATCGTCTATCATGCACGAGGTCCATGCCGGGGACAGTCACGCAGCCGTTACGCACAGGACAACGTCACAGCTAGCGCAGACAAAGGTACCAACTGCAGTCGAGTGATCGTGTATTACCGATGCCAACTACCTCACATACAGGTCCATCGCGTCTCCCGCAGCTGCCATACGAAACAAGCAGTCCGAATTACTGCACAGTGTTAATCTGCCAACCATCCCGCCAGTCACTCTACAGGCCATGTCATATTCACAAGCCTCAACGCGTTCAGGCATTATTTGGCGCGGGCCAGGCCGACGGCGTTCTTGCCGAGGTCGTAGACGGAGTAGTACCTTCGGAGGAATGCATCACCCAGGATGGCGAGCGGGCCGGCGGGCGCGGGAATGTCCATGCCCTGGAAGGTGGAGATGCAGCTGCCAGAAATCTCGAGGATGTAGTCGGTCGCGGGCAGGCTGTAGTTGGAGCCGGACAGCGAGAAGGTGATGTCGGGCAGCGAGTCCCTCTTGGCGCAGTCGATGGTGTACTGGCCGTTGTAGCCCTTCTTGGCACCCATCTCGGCGTTGAGGAGCTCGGCCAGAGCGCTGGGGATGACGTTGAGCGAGGTGCCCGTGTCCAGGATGACGCCGGTGTTGTCGAGCTCGGCCACCTCGTCGCCGAAGGCGATGGAGTCCAGGTCAACCTCCCAGTACGCCTTGCGTCGCAGGGGGATGTACTCGATCTTGCCCGTGTAGTGGCTCTCGTCGACGCCGCCAAAGACGGCCTCGCTGCCTTCGTCCTTGTCACCGAGGTAGAAGGCGAAGACGGGCTCGTCCAGGAGCTTCTGGTTAATCATGTTGTAAAAGGGCGGCACGATGTGGTTGACCGAGATGGTGTCATAGCCGAGGCCGAGGATGCCGTCAAAGCGGCCAAAGGCAAACGCCAGGCCGGGCTCGTTGGTCGCCTCGGCAAAGTCCTGCGACTTGATCTTGAGGTCGCCGATGGACATGTCGTCGTTGGACACGAAGCCCGACAGGCTGCCCGAGCCGTACTGGATCTCGAACGACGAGCCGTTCTTCTTGTACGTCGACGAGGACGACGAGTCGTACGTCGAGTGCAGGTAGCAAGCAATGCTGTTGCACGACTGCGAAGGAACCCACAGGTTGGAGCTGCCCGTGTCGAGAACGACCTTGAATGACTGGGGCGGGTTGCCAATCGTGATCTCGGAGAAGTCTGGGTAGGGTGAGCGGCGCGCAATCGGAGGCGGAGACATGCGCGGGCCGACTTACACTGGGCGTTCATGAAGTTGGTGACGGGGACGAGATGGCCGCCGGCGGCCTGAGGGGGCTTCGAGTTGAACATGACGTCGGCGCGAGACTCGGGGCGGCGGCCGAGGTACTTCTGGCCCAGGTGCTGAACCTGCGTCTCAATCGAGGCGCCGGCCTGTGAGGAACGTCGCGGTCAGCATACACGTCGGCGCACACGCATCATGTCTCGGCGGCCGCGGGCAGACGCAACGTACCAGCTGCTCCTCGAGGGAGACCTTCTGCAGCTTCATCTTGTGGACTCCGGCCTGGGCCGAGCCGGCAAGGGCGGCGGCCGCGATAAGGGCGCTCTTCATGATGGGCGACGCTTCCGAGGTCGTGCGGACGGCGGATTAGGCTGACGACGGTATCGAGATACCAGTACCCGCGAGCGATAGATGCACGCGATGCGGACGGAGATGGAGATGGCGGACGTTTACGATGCGGGCGGGTAGGTGTTGATGGTTGAGGCACGACGGTGGCGCTGGAGACGGGGAGCGGAGGCTGGTGAGGACGGGAGCGTCATGCTCGGGCCATGGGGCACGCGCGGTCACTGGGCCTGGGGCCTGGTTGCGTCGCCAGCAACTGCCTGACGACCAATGACGCACGGCTGCGACGACGGCCGGGTGACCTGCCCGGGCCACTGCTCCTCCTCCGCACTCGCTAGACCGCTCGCGGAAGCGCTAGTGGCGGGCCATGCTCTCAGCACTCTCAGCACTCTCTCTCTTGACTCAGCACTCGCAGGCTGCTTTACCCCTCCCGCCCGCCTCGGGCAGGGCCGCGCGTTGACGGGCAACCAGGCAGTTCGTCCGTCCTGTCATGGGCTGTTTACCTCGCCGGACGGCGGATCAAAGTATCGCCGCTGTCGCCTCGCAGCTTGGCAAAGCACAGCCGCCAGAGCTGCTGTCTCGTTGGACTCTCAGCCCGCATCATTGAAGCGCGGCGGGCTCGAAACGATCAAGTCTCGCGCGTCAGGCTGGTGGGCGCGGTGGCCGAGCTCAGACACGGACCGCTCTCTACCGTTCAGCATCCGAGATTATACCATTTCGGGACCGTGGTTGTCTCACTGCCATTGCTGCTGTGACTGTACCCAGCCTGCTAGCGGGCTTGTTGGTGAGCGATGGTTGGAAAACACCCAATGACTTGCTGGGCACTCATCAGCTTCGCATTTAAGTCGTATGTAGGCTTCGTCTTGTTGACTCGAGCTGTGCATCTACACCTTTCGACGGCGGCATGTCACGGTCAACATTGCTCTACAGAATCCATGGCTCGTCCAACCGTGCATGACACCTCTCCGTAACAGGTCGGACCGAATCGGACGACCGAGCACACAATGCCTCGCCCGTGAAGTGACGACGAGAGTGACCCCATGGCATGGCCACCAGAGCAATGCCTACATGATACATGTATCTCAGACCACGCTGAGCCTAGTTGCCGTCCGTTCGCCAACTCTCCCTGCCATGCTCGAGTCTCGATGGTTGTACTTTGATTTTGTGGCACTTGCGTGTACCGGTTCTCTGCCCAGTGGTCCTCAGGCTTCGACCCCCTCCGTCGACACTTTCTTGCGCGACGGGCCTCATGATAGCTGCCAACTTTGAACGACATCGTTTGTGACCATTACATACAGTCTCGACAGACCGAGGGTCTCACGATGGGATGCCGTCGACGTCACGACGCAGAGACGAGGCTACCCTGCACTGGAAAGGACATGCAGCATCAGATGGCTGGTTCCGAAAGCCAGCGAGCTTCGCGCGTTGTGTCCGCACCGATGACCTCATTCGTGAAGAGGACTGCCATGTTAGGGAATGCACCGCCCGTGCTTAGGCCAGACGGCCAAGGTGCCCTGTCGGGGAGAGACGCATGCTCATGATTCACCACCAGTGCGAACAGGCCGCGTGGGCAGTCAACTCGTCACTACCAGACAGGTTCACTCGATCCAGTCAGCATATCGCGGAGCGGACAGTCATGATCATGGCCAGATGCTAGGGAGGACAATATTGAACGCCACCATAGCTGGCTCCAGAGATCGGGAGGTCGTGAGCCGGTACTTATTCCCGCACGGCGAACTGAAAGACGGGCTTTGTGAAACATTTGATGTCAAAAGCCATTGACAACTCCGGAGAGGCATCCAATGCGCAAGAGGCCAGTATGCCTTGCCGAGAGCCTTGGTCAATCAATCTGTCGCCGCCGGATGAGCACAGGACCATATGGCTTGCGCAAGTGGGTTTTGGCTGCCATGGCGGTTTCGAAGAGACGAGTTGGAGCTGCTGGAGCTGTCCGACACCAGCAAGCAGAGCTCCGCAATCTCGGGTCTCCAAAACACGCCGGGTGGAGCGATGGCTTGCGCAACCGTGGGTGCTGCGGACGGCAGCCGCGAGGGTTTCCTTCTCTCGGTCGACGGCCGTCGCTGGCGACAGGTAATACGTGAGGAAGACCTGGAGAAGTAATAAGAATGCACTGCGGCTGCGTGCATCTTGTAAGTGGTGCTACTGCCACGCCCAGCCAGGCGCAGACGGGGTGCCCCCGTCCCCAGGCTGCGAGGCATTTGCCTCGCGGGTGGCGCTGGCATGCAGCGGCATGACACGACCATGCGAGTCGAGCCCCCGTGTCGCGTATTCCACCCGGGCGGAGCTCGCACGGGTCTGGCCACGTCGTGCGCCGGTGACGCGGGAGAGGCGCGGTCACCGGAATGCCACCGGAATGGCACGCCTTGGATTGCCAGTAGCCTCCTGTTTTTCCTCCGGACGGGGAGACCATGGCAATCCATGTCTTCAAGTATTCCATCCCTACGGCCACCGAAGGCGGGATATTATTAGCAGGCAGGGTGGCAGCAGGCAAGGGGCCGTGAGGCTTGTTCTCGCCTCGACATGCAGGAAATGCGATGGGGCTGTGCGGCGCCCGCCAACCCGCCTGTTCCGTCCAGATTGTCCTGGGTTGTGAGATGGATCTCGTATCGCTGCAGCGCGCGATCCACACGCGTGGTCGCCCAAGCTCCAGAGGTTCGTCTTTGGTTTGGTTGGGGAGAGACGGGAGCGAGACACACAGAGGGGGGCTGTGACTTGTGCAAGGTCTGGGTCGCGCATAAACCAGACGGTGCACGCTCGCAGGCTGCAGATGCCCAGCGACTCGAGGAAGGACGAGTTGCACGGGTTGGCAAGCATCACGGGCACCGGCCGGTCGGCGATCAACAGCGCGCTCGCTTCAAACACCCTTTTTGCCATCCATCCATCCATCCTGTGTCGCCTCCGTACTCGTACTCTGCCACCTTGTGGTGCAGACTCGCTACCGTGTTCGTCCTGTCCAGTCTCCTGTCTCAACTCTGCGACGGTCGCGCGAGTTTGGCGCCGTTTCGCCCCCGATCGTCACGCCAGGGGAGGGGGAGGAGCACTAGATTTATGCGCCCCTGTGCATCCTTGCTTATTCTGCCTCAATGCACGCCGGGTGGAATACTTTGCTGTGTGTACGTACACAGGAGGGACCGTACACAAAATACGAAGCTGGAGAAACCCGCGCTTATTATGAACGCGCCATCTCGATCCTTCAAAGTTCCAAAGGTCTGGCCCTCTGGGCGAGCCGCGTGGACCGGTGCAGCCGGACACCTTGCGCTGGGCCCTTGGCGACGAGCTCGGTCGCTCACCATTGAAGCCCGCTCGTATAGGTGCTTGGGAGCGCCCCATTTTGAGTTTGCGGTTGAGCGCCGGGCCAGAGGCGCCAGATGTCATGATCGTGTGTGACGACGCACGCGGGATTCCATCACATGAGTGCGCCGCACCAGCAGCCGCGGCTCCCATGCTGCGCAGTGCAGGGACACTGGCACAACTCGGCCTGCACAACGCCCTCCAGCATGGGGGCCACTCCCAGTCCCAGTCTCTGAAGATCTGGCAGCGCTGGCGACGCTCGCTCGCACTCGAACAAGGCATTGTGCACGGCGATGGGTTGCAGCTGCCAGCATGCTTTGATTACAGGTGGGCCCGGTGGAGACGATCCAGGGGTGCGGCCTGCAAGCAGTCGGCGCGGCAATGTAGCGGGGACACCGATGCCTTGGACGTCCAAGGCACGCAGCTAGGACAGTGCCGGTGCGCCACGCGCGTGGCTAACGGACGCGTCGGTCGAGCGAGTACCGGTGACAACGCCAAGGGCCCTCCCGGGATCTACGGGTCCGGGCCCCATCCCAAACAGACGCGGAGCACGAAAAAGCTTGCTGCGCGAGGTTCTTGACTGGAGCGGGCGTCCACCCACCCACGACCAACACGCACCTCCGCTAGCAGGCCGGCGGCGGCGCGGTTCCTACAGTAGCCCAAGCGCTGCTGCGCTGCGCGATTCCTGTGCGGGCGGGACGCAGCATGCAAGGCACGCACGGGAAGCTCTGGAAACGTCGGGAGTCGTCGCAACTCTTTTGGCTGACGCGCGAGCGCTCGCCGACGGCAAAGCCCGTGCTGCGCTGTGCCCAGAAGACGCGCCACCGAGCCAATAAGCACCGCCCATTCCAGCGGGGGGCGAAGACATTTTGCGTGTGAAATGCTGCCGTTGGCCCCTGTTCCAGGTGCGTCGGCTGGCGCGGTGTCCTGCGGCAGCGGGGAAGGAGGATGGACAGCGCAGAGGCAATGGCACGGCATGGCGCACCGCAGCGATGGAAGTGCAAAGTGCTGCACCAACAACAACCCAACGGCCCCCCGTCCAGAGGCGCAAAAGCAGGTGGTCCGTACGGAGTAGATACAGGCAGCGAGGCCAGAGAGCCGGTTTCCCGGGAGCAATCAAATCGCGCGTGCTGGCTGGCCGGCGGCCTGCAAACAGCCACCGGGATGAATGACGGGACGGGAAGCATGCGCCAAATCAGCCAACCCGGGGTGGTGTTGGTGGTGGCCGGGGGCCGGTGGTGGTGCCCGCTGGCGCCCCTCTGGTGGAGGTGCTGCCCGTGCTGCACCTCCGTTGAACGCTGACGAGAGGTGCTGGAACCTCGAGGTCGCGGCGCGTGTCCCAGCCCAGCCCAGGAACAGCACCAACCACCGGCGCCAACGCCGCTCAACCACCAGCCGTGCAGCCCACACACCCGCTCATTTCGCTGCCACTGCCACTGCCACCCCGATCTGCTGGCCTCGCACCTGGACTGGGTCCAATCCTCCACACCACGCCGGCCCCCTGACTGCCCTGGCACCTGGGCCAGCGAGGTGGGCATTTTGCACGACCAGCACAACCTTGCACACGCCCTCCACCCCCGTCGCGCCCGTTCCCACTCCCTCTCACGCTCTCTGTTTCTCCCCCTTCCCTCTCGCTCTCCCCCAGCAGGCACCATCGTCGGTCTCTCGACTCGTCGCCCCTTTCAACCAAATCGTCCGTCGCTCGTTCCAGTCCCTCCTTCTTTCAGGCTGCCACCCCCCACAGCATCACCAGCCTCCCGCTTCGACTTCGTCTCTCGACCATCTCGAGCAGTTGGGTCAGCAGATGCAGAGGCCGCCTACCGCTTCTGCTCCTCACCCAGCAGCCTGACTCTTGGGCCAACACAAGGGGCCTCGACCGTTCGTCCCAGCCGACTGGGCCACGCCAGGTTCCTCATCGACGACATCGAGACTCGAGCACAGCCGACCGTCGACGCTTCTTCGTGGTCGATACGGACCATTGTTTGGACTCGGCGCCCCCGTCTCGACATTTGACGCTGCCGCCCGACGTCCAACTCGACGCCCTGGTGGAGTCGAATTCATTCATCCCCGACCGCGTTCTTCACGACTGTCGACGTCGCCAAACAGCATCAGTCACGAACTGCGGCCGTGACTGAGGCGTCGCTCGACCGAGTCTTTCCTTCGCACCCTCGCTCAACCGTTTTCCATTTCGACATAGCCACAATGAAGACCCTAACAGTCGCCTTCGTGGCATTGCTGGCCGCCTCCAACGTCTGGGCCGCCCCCGACACGCCCACCAGGGTTCTCCGCGATGAGGGCGGCACCAAGGTCGCACGCCAGGCAAAGGGCAAGCAGAGCCCATCCGAGTTTCCTCTGGAAGGCGCCCCCAAGTCACAGGGCTGCTACTCGTCCGTGGGCAACATGACCCTCCACAAGGCCGTCGACAAGATGTCGTCGGGCACCTGCAACCAGGCCTGCAAAGACGACAAGTTCTGGGTGTCCGGCCTCAAGGGCTCCAGCTGCTACTGCGGCTTTGCCCTCCCGCCCAAGGGCGACCTCGTCGACGACAAGAAGTGCAACTATCCTTGTCCGTGGTACGACCCGGAGGCCTGCGGTGGACTGGGCACCCCCGGCTTCTTTTCAACATTCAACCTTGGCATCAACATCGAGGCCACCAACCTGCAGTCTTCGTCCTCGTCCACCTCGAAGCCGACCAGCTCCTCGACTGCCGGTGATGAGACGCCCTCGGCCCCCGTTGTCACCGAGACGGAAGCTGCGTCGCAGACGCCCGACTCTGACAGCAAGAGCAAACCCAACACAGCCGGCATCGCCGCCGGCGTCGTCGTGGGTGTTGTGGGCGTCGCCGCCATCATCGGCGGCATCTTCTTCTTCGTCCGCCGGAGACGTAACGCGGAGATTGAGGAGGACCACCGCCGCAATGCCGCCGTCAACGCGTTCATCAACGGCTCGAAGCCGCCCGGCAGCAGCGGCAGCATCTCCATGACCGATGCCCGCCTCGACCCCGTCATGGCTCACCGGAGAATGAGCGACGGCAGCATCGCCGACAACGAGGACTATTCCCGCAGGATCCTTCGGGTGAGTTGCAAATCCCCTCGACACATTGAATCAGCACACTGACTTGCCCAGGTAACCAACGCATGAGCTCCACCGACAACGCCAATTATGACAGCGCAATCTGCCACCATATAAACCACCCTCCTTTCAATACCACCACCTCCTCCGGCATTCACGGCGTTATTGGGATGAAGCTCATGTCATTGGTTCGTCGACCGATGGCCTGACGGCGTTTGACTCCTTTGTTCAGGGCGTAGGGATGCTTTTTACGTGTGCCTGGTGGACACGACCGACCGCGGCGTGCGGCGCACCTTGTTGCCTCCCTACACCGTCCACTCCTTACGTCTCCGTTGATCTTCACCATTTGATTTTGGCGACTCGAGAAATGAATGCGACACCGCGATTGCTCCGTTTACCGTTTCTTTCACCGAGCAGAGTGTGTTGCAGCACTGCCGCGACGAGGCCGCCCGCCTTGCCACGGCGACCCCCCCGTGTGTCTCGACCCCAGTGTTCCGGTACATATAGTTCAACGACGCTGCGGGCTCGACCGAGGGGACGGGCTTGTTGGAGCCGGCCAGCGTTTTGGGATACGCACGACGAGATCAGGTGCCCCCACGGCAGCCTGGTCGCGTCATGGTCGCCAACTTGCTACCTATTTTTTATTCTCTTTATTTCGCGATACGAGGAGCGATGGAAGCCAACAGGTAGTGCGAGAGATGTATGTATGGTTGCTCGTAGCAAAAGTCACGTCCACTATATGCCTCTTGTCCCGAGCTGTGATGTGCGTTTGCGCATGGTACGGAAGCACTGCTGCCTACTTAATACAAGACGTAACTGCAGAAGCTGTCTTTGCTCATGGAGCATGAGATCCGTTGGAAATCTGACCGGATTGCGTGAAATGAACAACGTGCCGTCCCGTTCTGTTGTGAGCGTTTGAGTTGCGCATGAGTGTGCGAGTGACGGTGAGACTGGGCGTTGACGCTGTCACGTGACTGGAAGCTCCCTGTGCTGCACGCGCCAGCGCGTTCCGAAAAGTTGAAGCTCCAACCACTCCATCTCAAGCTCAACTACTGAACCCTGACGACGGCAATCATCAACCTTGCTGCGGCACCATGAACTGAGTCTCATTTGAATTCCATACGATCATAAGACTTCGCACCCGGGTGCTCTGCACCCACCGTTCCCTTCGTCATGGGCACCCCGACGCCGCGGATTCGCCGCACGGCGCAAAACACCCAGTTCACGTACGTGTACTACCACAGGCGACACCTGCAAAGACTGACAGTAGCAGCTATAATCTCTCGAGGCGAATCAGCGATGTGAAGACATACCCGGTGCAATCACCCCAGGGTGCCACCGTTCTCATATACGGCCATGAGAACGGCGTCACGCTAGTATGGCGAGGCGGCCGGCGCTTCAAGCCAGCGAAAAAAGAGGTCCCCGTTGAGAAGCCCAACGGCAAAGCGGACGACGCCGTCATGATCATCGACTCGGACGATGACGAGCTCCCCGCCAAGACACACGCGACGCCCAAGTTCGAGGACAAGCCCGAGTTCGAAGACGTCGCCGAGCAGACGCCGTACGCAGAGATCATACAAACGCTCGACCTGACGCTGGGCACGGCGGTGCTGAATGTGGCCGTCATGCCGATGGCGCCATGCACATCCGAGGAGGCTGCAGCTGGAGACGCGCCCATACTCGCCGAGAAGATGGTGTTTGCGGTGTCGTGCATCACAAGCGACGTGTATGTGATTTCGCTGCCGCTCACCCCGCCGTCGCCGGAGAGCAAGGCGCGGCCAGACCTGCGGACGGACCTCCTCTCCGGAAGGGCTGGATCCGGGGCGTGGGGCGAGTCGCTTGTCCTTCTAGGTGGGCAGACGAGACACAGCGACGGACTGGCCATGACGCTCCTCCGGCCCAAATCTCCGGAGAGACGCGGGGCCGGCCGGGCTGTCGTTGCTGCGTGCTCTCGGCAGGCCTCGGGCACTTTGCACTTGTGGGACGTGTCTCTGGACGACAAAAACAAGCCAGACCGGGCAGTTGAACCTTTCCAGACAGAGTTCCTGCCGGAACCCCTGTCGGCCATTTCTTTCAACCCTACGCGCAACACCCAACTCCTCACAGTATCTCCACACCAAGCAGCCCGAATCTACGACTTTGCTGTCTCGTCGCTCCCTCCGGACTCGGACGCCACGGGACCGTTTCCTTCGCAGGGCTCTTGGCTCCTGTCCCTTTACCAGCCATTCGCGAGACCTTCGGCCGCGAGGAAGCCCATCCTCGACGCAGCTTGGGTCTCCCACGGGCGCGCGGTGTTTGCTCTTTTGGCAGACGGCATGTGGGGGATCTGGGACGTCGACGGTGTCAGCCCCTCGTCTCCCTCGGCGGCCATGGCGACGAGGCTCAAGTCTGGAGTTCGCGGTGCGGCCCTGACGGCCTTTAGCGTATCGGGCTACGTCGAGGGCACGGGCGCGCTGCGCAGCGTCGCCGCACAGGCCAAGGAGAACCAGACTGGAGAATTTGCGCCGATGACCCCGCATACGCGCCGTCAGGCGACTGCGTCTCTCAGTGCTGCAACGTCACTCGACCGCCTGTCGACCGTTCGTGGCGGCGTCAGCACCGTGGCTCTGCCCTCGACGGGGCGTACGGCACAAGACGAGAGCCTGGTGCTGTGGGTTGGCGGCTACGAGCACGTCTGTGTCATTCCTGGCGTCTCCCGCTTCTGGGAGTCTCAGCTGCGCAGAGGCTCGGGCGGCGGCGTCAACCTGTTTAGCGGCGCGCAGCCGACGCGGATGGTCAAGCTCCTCGATCTGTCGACTGGACTCTTGGGCGAGAGGTGCTGCGGCGTGAGCCTCGTTGCGGACCCGTCCCGGAGCGGCGACCACGTCGACAGCGACGGCGGGTTGCCGGTGGATGTACTCCTGCGCGGCGAGACGAGGATTGTGATTGTGGGACAGGGCGACGATGGACCCGGAAAGAGGGTTGGCGGCGTCGTCGATGCGCAGCGGAAGCGCCTGTTCTCCAAGGGGGAGCGGTCAGACGCCATCATCGTGCACGGACGGGACGGCAGGAAGCCGAGCTTCTCGTACAACCTCAGCACGTCCAAGCCTGGCACACTGAGACTGAAGGCGCTGAACGGCCAGGGCGACTTGGAAGCGTCCCCCGGGGCAGGCGACTCGCCGTCCGTGGCACCACGGCGCCGCGTTGGCTTCGACTTTATGAACACCTTGGAGGACGCCGCGGATGTCAGCGCAGACCTCAGCCGCGATGTCGAGGCGGAGATGCTGGACATTATGGAGATTGACCAGGCGCTCGAGAGCATGGAAGGCAGCCGCGGGAATGCAAGGAAGCGCGTCTTTTTCGAGGAGGACTGATACTCACGGCGCGGAGACGCCCTCGCCATGTACGATACCCAAGACTAATGGACGCCGGGATGCCTGGGATGGCCGCGGATGCCACGTGCCTGTGACGACTTGATTGCGTGACGATCCGCACGGCAAGGTGAAGCGCAAGGCGAGATCCATCCTTGACGCTTTGTATTCCGAGCGGTATATCAAACACCGAGGCATCTCAATCAGGGAGAGGATGAGGAGGGATTGTATATGACCATATGCTCTTCCAGCTCAAGCGCGTCCTGCCATCCTCGGCCCTCTGCGCAAAGGTTCGCCTGACCGCACGGCAGAGGGGGACGCGCCACTTGGCTGGGCGGTGGTGACCTCGGGACATGCAGTGAAGCATTCAATACGAAACGGGCGACTTCAATGTGCGTTCTGCAACCCTGTGCCTTTTTCGCCATGCGGTGTTTTAATTGTCACGTACTGTGCCCTGTGACTGAAGTTGTGCCATGGAGCCTGGCCTGGAGCACGCTGCCGCTGCCACCCACATTGAAAGCAACGGGGTGCCTGGGTGGTGGGGCATCCATTAAAGTGCACGCGCGACAGGGCGCGTCATGACTTTTTGGCGCGTCCCGCTCCACCACCTTCACCAGACACAGCTCTGAACAAGCTCTCCGGGCTGGCAGAATCGCCGAGCAGCACTTTCAACACAGGTTTCTGGCCACCGACAGCACCTCCGTCACCGCCATTGCCATCTAATCCGTCTACGACCCGACAAACCGCACCCGCTGTTTGAACCGCTGCGCGGCGACCGGCACCATGGGCATCAAGCAGCTCTTCCAGATCATCAAGGATGAGGCGCCCGAGGCGATCAAGGAGGGCGACATCAAGAACCAGTTTGGCCGCAAGGTCGCCATTGTAAGTGATCCCCGCAGCCCCGACTCGGCGACGCCGGGCTGACTCGCCAGGATGCGTCCATGAGCATCTACAGCTTCCTCATCGCGGTGCGGTCCGACGGCCAGCAGCTCATGAACGACAGCGGCGAGACGACGTCGCACCTGATGGGCATGTTCTACCGCACGCTGCGCATGGTGGACAACGGCATCAAGCCGCTCTACGTGTTTGACGGGGCCCCGCCCAAGCTCAAGTCGGGCGAGCTGGCGAAGCGGTTCCAGCGCAAGCAAGAGGCCACCGAGGGCCTCGAGGAGGCCAAGGAGACGGGCACGGCCGAGGACGTGGAGAAGTTTTCGCGACGCACGGTGCGGGTGACACGCGAGCACAACGCCGAGTGCCAGCGGCTGCTGAAGCTCATGGGCGTGCCGTACATTGTGGCGCCGACCGAGGCCGAGGCGCAGTGCGCGGTGCTGGCCCAGGCCGGCAAGGTGTACGCGGCGGCCAGCGAGGACATGGATACACTGTGCTTCAACTCGCCTATCCTGCTGCGCCACCTGACGTTTAGCGAGCAGCGCAAGGAGCCGATCCAGGAGATTCGGCTGGACAAGGTCCTCGAGGGCCTCAACATGGAGCGCAAGCAGGTGCGTTGATGGGATCTTTGCAAACGTGGACCGTGACGCTGACGAGACAATACAGTTTGTGGACCTCTGCATCCTGCTCGGCTGCGACTACCTCGACCCGATCCCCAAGATTGGCCCGACGACGGCGCTCAAGCTCATACGCGAACACGGGACGCTCGAAAAGGTGGTCGAGGCCATCGAGAAGGACTCGAAGAAGAAGTTTACGCTGCCAGACGACTGGCCGTACAAGGACGCGCGGGACCTCTTCTTCGAGCCCGACGTGCGCAAGGCGGACGACCCGCTGTGCGACTTCAAGTGGGACAAGCCCGACATCGAGGGCCTGGTGACGTTCCTGGTGACGGAGAAGGGCTTCTCGGAGGACCGGGTGAGGAGCGGCGGGGCGCGGCTGGAGAAGCAGCTCAAGAGCTCGCAGCAGGCGCGGCTCGAGGGTTTCTTCAAGCCGGTGCCCAAGTCGGACGCGGAGAAGGCGGCGCACAAGCGCAAGCTCGAGGAGAAGAACGAGGAGAAGAAGAAGAAGCTCAAGCAGGACAAGAAGGAAAAGGCGGCGGCCAAGGCGAAGCCGCGGGCTGGCGGGGCGTAACACTGCTGCCCGTCAGGGGTTGTAGGCGCGGGGGAACGTTGCGAAAAGCCTCGGACGGGAGGCGCGAAGGAGCTGCTCACGAGGGTATCGCGTGCCCTGATGGAAGTTTACGGACGTTGCATGGGCCACGGCCGTTGCGACGGTTGTGACGGATGGCACTCGGTTGGCCGGCACTGGCTTCGTTTGGCTTGCCTGCAAAGGCGTTTTTGGCGCATGGCTACGGTTGGGATCCTTTTGGCAACTTGGCACCTTGTGCAGGAAGAGGGCATAATGCTCAACTCATCCGAGTTGGGAGATAGATTGGACTATCAATGAGACTGGTCCATGGCCTGACATCGTTCAATCTTGCAATTTTCCCAACGTCGTGATCTGTCTGAGGTACCAAGGCGGAAGCGTTCCGTGGAAACCAGCGCCATGGCTTCTGCTGCAGTGCAACGACCCCCATGCGGCTTTCATCTCCGGGGCCTCTGCTCACCTCACCGTCTGCATTTCCGACAGGCCGGAGCAGCACACGCATCCTCGGCGGCATTGGCAATGCTGGGGCTCCCACTGGCTTGGGCCTCGGCTTGGGGGGGCGTCCAGATTGGGGGCGCTGCCGCCGAGCCCCACTGGAGCCGCATGACATCAGCCGCCAGAATCGCATCGGACCCCCGGGGCGCCAGCACCAAAGGGCGCTGGGGGGACCCGACGACTGACCACTGACAGCGCAGGACAGCGCAGGACAGCGCACTGCAGCGGCCAGGGCCAGCGAGCGCTCGGGGCGATCCGCTGGCTGGCTGGCTGGCTGGCATGAGTTTTCACATGCAATTCCATGTGCCACCGCATGCAGCGCCAGTGGGCAAGGTATGGATGGAGGATGCCATCGGCCGCTGCAGAAATCAGCACATGACGCTCACGCATTCCCTTTCAAGGGAGCGACTGCCCGCATGACTGGACCGCAAAATGCCTCTTGATTTGTCTGGAGAGTCCGGACGGCTCGCGTTGCGGGCGCGGGATGATGATGACGGGAGCGTGCTGAACGTGGAGCAGAGCACAGCCGAGCACGGGCGGCGGCGGCCCCGGACGACGACCACGCCGCGCCATCGTGATGCTCCAGACTCTCCGTCTCCCTCCCTCCCGCCAACCCGGTGGCTCGCATTTGCGCTCCTGTGGGGGCTCTGGGGAGGGCCGCCGGAGGCGTTTCCCTCCTCATGCCTGTGCTTGCCTTTGCGAGCACACCTTGCTGGAAACTTAGCTCCGTCCGTGGGCGCGACGCCGCATCCACCTCCGGCGCCCGCCCGCCCGCCCCGGCACATGGCATGTGATTGCAGCAGCCCGCCTTTGTCCCGCCGATTGAATTTAAAGACTGGGGAACCTGGGGTTCTCCGGACCTGTGTGAGAAATCTTAAAATCGTCCCCGAACCCTTTGCATCCCGTCGTAACCCATCCCGCCCGCTTGGCTCCCTCCCCTCTCCCATCACACACACCCGTCTCCCTCGCCATCCCCTCCGGCCTCATCCCTCACAATGTCCAAGGTCTTTACGACGAGCGACGTCGCGTCGCACAACAAGCCCGACAGCTTGTACATCATCGTCGACGGCGACGTCTACGATGTGACCACGTTCCAGGATGACCACCCGGGTAAGTCGGAGTCCGGACGGAGTGGTACGCAGGTGAAAGGGCACGATTGTTGCTGACTCGTTCACCTGCAGGCGGCAAGAAGATCCTCCAGCGCGTCGGCGGCAAGGACGCCTCCAAGCAGTTCTGGAAGTACCACAACGAGGGCATCCTCAAAAAGTACCAGGCCAAGCTGCAGGTCGGCTCGCTCGACAGCAAGCCCAAGCCGGAGCCCAAGGCGGAGCCGGCGCCCAGCGCCCCGGCCGTGACGGCCGCCACCAAGGAGTCGGCGAGCCACAGCGACGACAGCGAGCCGCTCGAGCCGTTTGGCCACCAGATTCCGTTTGCCGACCCGTCATGGTACCAAGGGGTATGTCTTTCTCTCTACTCGATCCGTGCGTGCCGTCGTAGCTAACCCGGCCCTACAGTACCACTCCCCCTACTTCAACGAGACGCACGCCGCGCTGCGCGCCGAGGTCCGGCAGTGGGTGGAAAACGACATTGAGCCCTTCGTCACCGAGTGGGACGAGGCCAAGCGCGTGCCCGAGGAGATCTACAAGGAGATGGGCCGGCGCGGGTACCTGGCGGGCCTGCTGGGCATCCAGTACCCGACCGAGTACGCGGCGGGCGTCAAGTCGGTGGCGCCCGAGAAGTGGGATCTCTTCCACGAGATGCTGGTGACGGACGAGCTGTCGCGCACGGGGTCGGGCGGCTTCGTGTGGAACCTCATCGGCGGCTTCGGCATCGGCTGCCCGCCCGTCATGAAGTTTGGCCAGCAGGCGCTCAAGGACCGCATCATGCCGGGCATCCTGAGCGGCGACAAGCGCATCTGCCTGGCCATCACGGAGCCCGACGCCGGCAGCGACGTCGCCAACCTGACGTGCGAGGCCAAGCTGAGCGACGACGGCAAGCACTTCATCGTCAACGGCGAGAAGAAGTGGATCACCAACGGCATCTGGTCCGACTACTTCACCACGGCCGTGCGCACCGGCGGGCCCGGCATGAACGGCGTCAGCCTGCTGCTCATCGAGCGCGGCGAGGGCGTCTCGACCCGCCGCATGGACTGCCAGGGCGTCTGGTCCTCGGGCACCACCTACATCACCTTTGAGGACGTCAAGGTGCCCGTCGAGAACCTGCTCGGCAAGCAGAACCAGGGCTTCCGCGTCATCATGACAAACTTCAACCACGAGCGCATGGGCATCATCATCCAGTGCCTGCGCTTCTCGCGCTGCTGCTACGAGGAGTCGGTCAAGTACGCCAACAAGCGCCGCACCTTTGGCAAGAAGCTCATCGAGCACCCCGTCATCCGCATGAAGCTCGCCCACATGGCCCGCCAGATCGAGGCCTCGTACAACTGGCTCGAGAACCTCATCTACCAGTGCGAGAAGATGGGCGAGACCGAGGCCATGCTGCGCCTCGGCGGGCCCATCGCCGGCCTCAAGGCCCAGGCCACCGTCACCTTTGAGTTTTGCGCCCGCGAGGCCAGCCAGATCTTTGGCGGCCTCAGCTACTCGCGCGGCGGCCAGGGCGGCAAGGTCGAGCGCCTGTACCGCGACGTCCGCGCCTACGCCATCCCCGGCGGCAGCGAGGAGATTATGCTGGACCTGAGCATGCGCCAGAGCTTGCGGGTGGCCAAGGCCATGGGCATGAAGCTGTGAGGACGGAGGAGTCGAGATGCACGAGTGACGAGAGCGTGTGTGGTGTGTGGCGGCGGACAGACTGTATGAATATCGCGAGCACTGCGGGACCAGATACCGTTTCATTTGTACATCCCGCAAGTAGACATGATTAGAATGAGGAAACAAATTTCCATGGCTCACTCTGCCGGTGGCATCCGAGGTAGTTTGTACGTGCGTTTTGACAAGCCTCGCCTCGTCTCGTGACCGACAGCCGTTGCCGCCGCTGGGGGGGCGTTGAAGCCTCCAGGCGAGAGCGGACCCCGCGTCACGTGACCGTTGAAAACCGCGTACCGCCTGCGAGCTGCACCCACATCCATCGTCGCCCACAGCCCGGCGGCCTGAAACTTCAATCTCCATCTCTCAATCCCTCAACTCTACGCACCAAAGCAGCACTCCGCCGCCGAACAAACGGGCCCGTGCTTCCAAACAAGCGATCTCCCACGCAAGCACCCACACAGACGGCCCGACGCGGCCACCCTCGAATCCCACGCTCTCCACGCGGCTCCTCGGGCCCTCGTCCACCATCGCCAGCGCCCCCTCGAACCGGCCAGCTCCCGGGCCGAGCACGAACCACGCCTCCGCAGCAGCTTTTGCGCACCCACACAGAGCCCTCCAGGCTGGCTTGTCCGCGGACGAAACCGAAAGAACAGCACACACGATGTCGGACCAGCTGGCAGATCAGCTGAGAAGCACCCAGCTCAGGTCCGTCCGGAGCGTCCCTGACCGCCACGAGAGAGACACGGCTTGCTGACCGGCACAGCGACGGCACCCCTCAAAATGAGGACTGGAAGAAGAACCTGAACCTCCCCGCCAAGGACAACAGGCAACAAACAGAGGTGAGGCGTCACGCATCCGCCCGCCCCCGCCCCGGCACCTCGCTCGCGCGCGCGCGCGCTAACACTCGCAGGATGTCACCAAAACAAAAGGCCTAGAGTTCGAAAACTTTGCGCTCAAGCGCGACCTGCTCATGGGCATCTTCGAAGCCGGCTTCGAGAAGCCGTCGCCCATCCAGGAAGAGGCCATCCCCGTGGCCCTCACGGGCCGCGACATCCTGGCGCGAGCCAAGAACGGCACCGGCAAGACTGCCGCCTTCGTCATCCCCGTGCTGGAGCGCATCAACCCCAAGGTGTCCAAGATCCAGTGCCTCATCCTCGTCCCCACACGCGAGCTTGCCATGCAGACGTCACAGGTCTGCAAGACGCTCGGAAAGCACCTCGGCATCAACGTCATGGTCACGACCGGCGGCACCGGCCTGCGCGACGACATCCTGCGGCTCCAGGACCCCGTCCATATCGTGGTCGGTACTCCCGGCAGGATCCTCGACCTCGCGGGCAAGAACGTCGCCGACCTGAGCGAGTGCCCCATGTTCGTCATGGACGAGGCCGACAAGCTCCTGTCGGCCGAGTTCACCCCCGTCATCGAGCAGCTGCTGCAGTTCCACCCCAAGGACCGCCAGGTCATGCTCTTCTCCGCCACCTTCCCCCTGTCCGTCAAGGACTTTTCCGACCGCAACATGGTGAACCCCTACGAGATCAACCTCATGGACGAGCTCACCCTGCGCGGCATCACGCAGTACTACGCCTTTGTCGAGGAAAAGCAAAAGGTGCACTGCCTCAACACCCTCTTCTCCAAGCTGCAAATCAACCAGTCCATCATCTTCTGCAACTCGACCAACCGCGTCGAGCTGCTCGCCAAGAAGATCACCGAACTCGGCTACTCTTGCTTCTACAGCCACGCCCGCATGCAGCAGCAGGCCCGCAACCGCGTATTCCACGATTTCCGCAACGGCGTCTGCCGCAACCTCGTCTGCTCCGACCTCCTCACCCGCGGCATCGACATCCAGGCCGTCAACGTCGTCATCAACTTTGACTTTCCCAAGAACGCCGAAACCTACCTCCACCGCATCGGCCGCTCCGGCCGCTATGGCCACCTCGGCCTCGCCATCAACCTCATCAACTGGGACGACAGGTTCAACCTCTACAACATCGAACGGGACCTGGGCACCGAGATCCAGCCCATCCCGCCCGCCATCGACAAGAGCTTATACGTATACGACAACCCCGAGTCCATCCCCCGCCCCATCTCGAACCTCCCCAAGAACGCGCAGCAGCCCATGCCCTCGGCACCACTGGGGCTGCCGCAGGCCCAGCAGCCCCAGGGCAACTGGCAAACCCAAAACGGACAGCACAACGGCTACAACCGCGGGCGCGGGCGCGGCCGTGGCGGCTACCGGGGACGCGGCGGAGGCGGCGGCGGCGGCGGCGGTCGCCCCCGCGGTCCGCCCCGCGAGATCCAATCCTAACCTCACCCTCTCACGAGCAACGGCTGGCGGTGTTGGAGAGTGGGAGACTGGCGTTTCTGGAGCACATGTTTTCTGCAGTCACGGAGAACGGGCTGGAGCTGATTTATGTTGGATTGTACATTATTCGCACGATTTTTGGCGAATGGGCGGTCGGCGTGCCGGGCTTGGTCTGCCGACGGCAGCGGCGTCGCGCGAGGACACGACCACCACGTGTCTACTGGACGACGGCCTCGCGGTTCTCTCTTTAAGCGTCGTTTTCAGCCTGCGTTGCGTTGGCGCAAACGATGTCGAACATACCCTGGTTGGCCGTGGGCCACTGCTGCCCGGCACTACGGTTTCTAGAGGAAGAAAGGGGCGGCAGAAGCCCCCGGAACCAGGGTTCACAGCTACTGGTCATGGCGGAGGCGGTTGTGAGGGGAGGCGATTTGCACGCTTTTGCATTTGCGGGCGAGCACGGAAGACGGCGAGGCGCATCGGGTTACTCGGCACATTTTTCTGCAGCACTTTACGGGGCGTGGACCTAGCTGCAAGCTTTGGCGGAAGACCGGACGGGCTCGCGGGCAGACGATGCCACCACGATATCAACGCAGTGCATGCCACCGGACGACATTCTTACGGTGGGAGGAGGAGGGGGTGGTTGGAGAGCGGAGAGGCGCCGGCGCCCTTGCTCTGCTGACTTTGGCTGGGCGGCTGTTCGATCTGGGGTTGATGTATGATTCCAGTACTGCCCTGCTTGGGCGCAGCGACGACGGCTTGGTCATTGGGTCAGCGACGGAGCAAGGATACCGGGGACGAGAAAAACTAGAAAAAAACCTTGGGGCGGACGCTGGGCAGTTGGCACCTCGAACTGGCTGGTCGGTCTGTGGACATGTCCGGGACCCGACCTAGAGCTAGTGGGTGGCTACTAGCCTGAGCAAGTAATGGAAGCCCATTTCGCCTCAGCTGCGTGTGCGATGCTCCCGTGATGCCGGTGATGTTAGGTACATGCCATTGCTGTGATGCCTCGGGGGGTCAAGACCGTGCTTCGAGTGTCCTGTGGCCGAGTCTACGGCACATCCCGTATCAGCCAAGTGGACCTCACGGGGCGGACTTCGGCTCGGTGATATGACTGCCGGCGACAGACGGATGGAGGAAGAGAGATGGGTATCATTCATCTATGCACAATGCGCACGCCATAGTACGCCCAACAACGCCCGCTCTACTGCACCGCCCGCGTGCTTCGACACGCTCACGCCCTGCGCTGTCCCGCGGTCGTCAGGTCCGCGGCGAGCGCCTCGGCCTGCGCCTTTGCCTCTGCCTCGCGCTCCTGGCCCCACTCGAGGATGATCCTCCTCAGCTCAAAGACGACCTCGACGGCGATGAGCAGGATGATGATGAGCTCGAGGCGCGTGCCGTGCTGCTCGCTCGACATCTCGCGGAGGACCGTGGCAATCTCCTGGGCGTAGTCCATCTTCTGGTTGAGGGTGCGGATGCGCACGTTGACGTCGAGGGCGCGCCCGACCTGGTCGTAGTAGCCCTCGAGCCCGAGCTCGGCGCGGCTGTCCCAGAAGATGTCGGGCAGCGAGTCCGTCAGCTCCGAGTAGTGGTTGAGGCGCGCGCGCAGGCTCAGCAGCTCGCCCGTCTTCTGCAGGATGAAGCGGCGGCCCAGCGGCACGCCGGCGCCCTGCGACAGCAGCGCGGGGATGTTGCGCGTGCTCTCAAAGTACGACGTCAGCGCCGTCTCGAGCACCGCCAGCTTGGTGCTGCGCGCGAGGCCCGACGAGAACGCAATCTTGGCGAGCGTCGTGTCCAGCCGGTCGCCGTCGCGGTGCTCGCGCCGCGTGCCCAGCACCACCAGGTCGCCCTTCATGGTGCTCTCGGCGCGCGCCGTGTCCGCCACGAAGTCGAGGTCGTCCTCCTCGCACATCTCGGCCGGGTGCGGGTCCTCGGCCGCCCGCAGCAGCTGCCGCGTCACCACGTCCGGCGGCAGCGACCACGTCACGATGGTCCCGGACGGGAACACGAAGATGTCGCCGCCGTTGACGCCCTTGGCGTGCACCACCTCGCCGGCGTCGAACCCCGTGTTGTCCGGGTCGATGGCGAACCCGTGCGACTGCAGGATCTCGAGCACCAGCGGCATGTTGAACGACTCGGCGATGCACGTCGCGCTGATGCGCGTCGACGGGTCATCTTCGTCGGCGCCCTCGGCCACGGGCTTGCCGTCGGCGCCGCGCTTCGGTTGCTGCGCGATGATGGCCACCCGCCGGAGCGAGTTCTTGGTCGTCGTGGCCCGCGTGGGCTTGCGCTTCGTGGGCGCCAAGGATGCCAATTGCTCGTTTTTGAGGGCCTGTGAGGGCGTCGGCGAAGCTTTGGAGTCGTCGACGCTCGAGAGGAACGGGTTCGAGGTGAAGAAGTGCCGCCGGCGCGGGAGGCTCGCGGGCGTCGTGAGGTGAAACGACCGCCGCGGCCGACGGCAGGTCACGCTGTGTATCTGGCGAGAGGCATTGCTGATGAGGGATATCCTCTGCTGGGAGGTCCTCATGGTCTGGTCGGCGGCGTGTGAGCTGTCGAGTCTACAAACTGTCTAAGAACATAAAGCATGGACGCCGGCAAGCAGCGGCGCAAACCATGTGGGGCGGCGTTGAAGCCTGCATCTCCAGACGCCTCATGTGACCAGGCACGTGTCTCGAGCCAATTCGGCGAACGGTGGAGGTTTTGGGTTGGCAACGGCTCGCCCGGGGCGGCCGACGGGGCTGGGACCGTCCGTGGGCCGTGGTCCCTGAGCGCTGCTCTGGCTCGCGACGTCACAGGCATTGGATTGCGTGGCAACGTGGCGGATGCGTGATGGTGCTGCCCACCGACCCAACCTAACAGGCCCGGGCCCAGGCGGCCGTCTCCAACAAAAACGCCTCCAGCACCCAGGCCAGGCTCGCCGCTGCCCCCAACCAGCGGCGCCGTGACTGGCCGGACCGGGGCGCTGTAATGTGCACACACCCCAGGCACACCAGCAGGAGGCTGGGCGCTGTGAGGGCGCCGGCCGCTCCGCTGAAATTACCTACCCACGCAAATACGCTGTACTGCAAGTAAATAAGCGCGGGGCGACCAGGGGACCACCGTCGACGCCGCCTCCCGTTATCCTCACCGTCACACTCCGCTTCGCTTTCGTCTCCCTCATCCGCTCCTCTCGTCTCCCTTGTCGCCGTCCCCTTGTCTCCGCCCCTCAAATACGCCGGGCATACCCGTCCCCGTCGTCCCGACTTTTCTTGCCTCGCCTCGCCCTCCCGTCGCCGTCCCCCTCTCCCATTGCCTCAACGTGGCCCATTGCCCCCCCACCAACGCCGCCGCCATGGATCTGGACCCCAAGTACGACGACTACGACTTCCCGTACACCGCGGCCGAGAAGCAGGATGGCCACCCGGGCTTCCTCACGGAGCTGCAGATTGCCCAGGTGCATCAGCTGCGGATGATGCTCGAGGCCGAGGGCTACATGGAGCGGTTGGACACGTTGACCATGGTAATGGAGACCCCTGCCCCTCGCCCGCCATCCCTGGACGACACGATGCTAACGGAAGCAGCTCCGGTTCCTGCGGGCGCGCAAGTTTGACGTTGCCCTGTCCAAGCAGATGTGAGCAGGCTCCCGGCGTTGAATCGCCCAGAGCGAGCGCTGACCCGTTGCAGGTTCGTCGAGTGCGAAAAGTGGCGAGCCGAGACCAAGCTGGACGAGACGGTGCCGACCTGGGACTACCCCGAGAAGGCTGAGCTCGCCAAGTACTACAAGCAGTTTTACCACAAAACGGACAAGGTAGGCCCACGCAATATCGTGCAGTCGTGGCCCCCGCTGACCGCCGTAGGACGGCCGCCCCATCTACATCGAGACGCTCGGCGGCATCGACCTGACGGCCATGTACAAAATCACCTCGGGCGAGCGCATGCTGACCAACCTCGCCGTCGAGTACGAGCGCGTGGCGGACCCGCGCCTGCCCGCGTGCTCGCGCAAGGCCGGCAAGCTGCTCGAGACGTGCTGCACCATCATGGACCTCAAGGGCGTGACCCTGACCAAGGTGCCGTCGGTCTACTCGTACGTGCGCCAGGCGTCGGTCATCTCGCAGAACTACTACCCGGAGCGCCTGGGCAAGCTGTACCTCATCAACGCGCCCTGGGGCTTCTCGACCGTCTGGAGCGTCGTCAAGGGCTGGCTCGACCCCGTCACCGTGGCCAAGATCAACATCCTCGGCTCCGGCTACCAGTCCGAGCTGCTCAAGCAGGTGCCCGCCGAGAACCTGCCCAAGGAGTTTGGCGGCGCCTGCGAGTGCGAGGGCGGCTGCGAGAACAGCGACGCCGGGCCCTGGCACGACCCCCAGTGGGCCAAGCCCGCCAAGTGGGAGAAGAACAAGGACGACGGCAAGACCATTGAGAACAAGGGCTCCGAGATTGAGAAGCCCGCTGCCGACGCCACCGAGGCCGTTCCCGCCGTGGAGGCCGGCGACAAGCAGACGGCTGCCGCCTGAGTTTAGGTCAAGCGAGGTTCGGGTCCGGGCACGCAATGCATACATTCGAAAAGGGGATCAGACGGTTAGAGGCGCGTATGGAGTAGAGGGAGAATGAATATACAACGCGGAATTAGCCGGCGGTGGCTCTCGCGCAGTCTGCCGACAGTCTGGTGCGTGTGGTTTTGTTTGACGTTTGTTTGCCATGGCGGCGTTGCGCCGTGTAATAGATGTACTCGCAGAGAGGCTGCAACCCATGGCTCAATGAATCAATTGGATATCGTCCCGCGTTACGCCCAAACTCCAAGTCCTCGCAGTGTCCCACGTCCTCCATGTAGCACACGGCGTGCCATCACCGCCCCTCGGTAACGACGTACTCGCCGGCAACCCTCGCCCGCTCCATCTTGGCCACCACGGCGGGCATGTCCCTCTTGAGCCTGCCCAGCGCGTCCACCGCGCCCGCAAACGCCTCCTCGACGCCGTCCTGCCGCGGCAGGGCGCCGACCCGCGGCCCGTCCTCGGCGGCGACGGCCGCGGAAGAGGACGCCACGCGGCGACGCAGCAGCTCCTCGTCGCGGTCGAGGCCCTCGCGCACGCGCGCGGCTTGCTGTGCCGCGGCGGCGGCGGGGACGGAGCGCTTGAGCGCGGCCACCTCCTCGAGCAGGCGCTCCTCCTCGGCGGTGCGGTCGGCGATGCGCTGCCGCTTGCGCGTGTCGAAGGGCTCGTACGCGGTGTCGTCGAGGTCCTGCGCCGAGGCGCCGCCGGCGACGAGGTTGTCTGGCACGGGGAGGCCGTTGATGGAGAGGTTTGGCGCGGCGAGGGAAAAGGTCTTGTCGATGTACTGCATTCATAGCTCGCACGTCAGCGGGATGCGACGAAGGACGGGACGTGGGAGACGGGGCGCCGCAAGAAACTCACCTCGTTGACGAGCGTCTCGATCTGGTTCCGCAGGCGGTCCTCGCCGCGGGCGGCGCCCTCGACGGGGGGGAAGGCCTCGTCGATGCGGTCGGCGGCGGCGCGGCGGACGTTGGCGAGCAGGTAGGCGAGGTCCTCGGGGGCCTGGAGCTCGATCTTGCGCTGGACCTGGGCGACGACGGGGTCGGTGGCCATGGTGAGGCTGCGCACGCGTGCGTGCTGCCGCTGCTGCTGTCGCTGGTTTGGCCGCAGCTGAAGAGGTGCGCGATGCGTTGGTTGAAGCGGTGCAGGCGAGAGTTGAGGCAGGCGGTTTGACGCGCGCTGCCGCGTTGATTGGCGATGGTGGGGTGTCCACTGTTTACTTGCCTTGCGCTACAGCGTCGGGTGGTTGCTGAGGTGCGGCCCGGGCGGGCTGTTGGAGGGGCTTGCGCTGCGGCTGCACCGTGGCGGGCGTTTTCAACATTTCCACCTGGTGCCGGATCTGACCCTGAAAGCGCTGCAAGACGCGCCTGGGGTTGCTGCGGTACAGTTCTGGAAGCTACAGATGGGATGAAAAGCCCAACCGTTCCATCCCAAACACGCACTGCATCGCCCCCTTCGCTGCGAGCTTGACGAAACCAGCGCCCTGCATGAATTGTTTCCCGCGTGGAGGCGACATCACGTCGCAGAACCCTCTGCGGCCCGCGTACGCACGACGGCTGTCTACTGACGGACCGGAGTACCTACGTGACAATCTCCCGCGAAACGTGCCGAAACAGGCTCCATCTCTCTCATGGAGAGCTAGTCAAAGAAGCATTTCGCTTCACTGTCACTAGACGCTGCGCCTCGGATCCGGCAGCAACATCCATGGATGTCTAATTGGGTGCGCTCCACTACGTGTCCAGGCACTGATTGTTTGAACCGGGAGGCGGCACGCCGGCATGAGGGTTTTGGTAGGCCTTGCTGCAAAGTTCGAAGAACAAGGGCGCATTGCTTGGACGCGATGGCGATGACGACGGCGAGGTTACGCGGCATGGCATATTGCACGCCGGGTGAAGCGAGATGACCCAGGGTGAAGGCACCGGTCCATCGGGGACGAGCCGAGTCATGCTCGGTCGACGAGGTACCCAAACAGAGCCCCAACCTGGCAGGTCGATTTCGCATAGATGGCAGGCCATGATCGAATTTGTCTTGGTCGAGGCGTTCCATGGTCTGAAGCCCCCTAATACCAACCTTCCAAGGTGTTTCCTCCCATGCTAGGACGTCAAGTTGCTCGCTCGCCTTGCCGCCCGGCGGCAGCCCCTGTAGATTTCCACCAAAAACCAGCAGCCCCAACATTCCGTCAACATTCCTCAACCGCCGCCGCATTCGGGCCCAATGCTGCCTGCCTGTCTTCAGCCCCCCCTCCACCCATGCGAGCAAGGCCGTCCACTGCAGAGGTCATCTCGGTCGTCCAACCACCGCCCGCTGCGCCTTGCTGCCACCGAGGTGATGGCCTGCGCTAAGCCCTAGCCATTTAGCCAAGTGACGGGCGGCCTGGCAAGCCCCCTTCCAGGTTGGATGGCTGGCAGCCTGGAGGCGGGCAGCAATTGGAAGGCCCAGCCAGCCCAGCAGCGCCGGCGCCCCGCAGGCCCCCCCTCAAGCCCCTGTAGGAGAATGGCCCGTGAGTGTGGGGTAGCAGCGTCGCATGCGGGGCTCTCGACTCGACGACGTTGGGCTGCTAATTCGAGGTTGCCCCTTTGCTCGACTGCGTTTCACATGGCCCAGTCGACGTCCGTGGGTGTCTTGCTGGGCGTCAACTTTTCCTCGGGGCCGCTGCTTCAGGACGACCAACCAGACCTGGTACGACGCTCAGGACGGCACATGTTCTCGGGCACCCACGGGGGCCAACCGCGCAATGCGTGGACACATCGCCATCCCAGGCGCCTACGCGTTGTCACGCAGACAGTACGGATAGTGGCAAAAAGAAAATCGATAAAAGCCCCTGGTCCTGGGGCACCAGGTCAAGTCTGCTACCAACACGCCTCCCATCCATAACAAGTCGTAAATCGTACTGCCACATGTGCGCCTCGCCCGCGCGGCCCAAGCAGCCCGCGCGCCCAAGTCAAGTCCAGAATAGCAATGCCAGCCCTGTCCCGGGCACTCCGTACGAGTCAACCAAGCCGAGGAGCGCACTTGCGTCCTCGCAGATCCCAACACACTCGCCAAACGCCGGGTCAAAGTACAGGGGAAGGGGGGTTAGACAGAAGTAGATGCCCTCTCTAGCGCCAAGCTTCGTGAGAACGACGGGTCTAAGTGTGGCCGGCCTTTATTGCGGCAGCATCTCCCTCGACTCTTCGTCGCTGAGCACAATCTCGTGCACCGGCTCGCAGTGGTTCTCGAGGGGTTCGTAGTCGCAGTCGACGTAGGACGGCAGGAAGATTTCTGCATCGGGTCAGCGGCGTGTTCCAGACGGATATGAGGCGTGGCCTACCTGGGTTCCAGGCAAAGCCCTGGCTCGACGACAGGTAAGAGATCTGTTTAGGCTGTCAGCAAGGCTCGGGCTCGCCGCGTCGTCACCGTACGTACCAGTCGAGGCGGACCGTCAGGGTCGCCGATGTTGATGACGGTGGACTCCTGCTTCGAGATGGCAGAGCCTGTCGAGAGTCAGTCAGCGGGCCGTGCTCAAACGACGAAGACAAGCCACGCTCGCGGGCCGCCTAAGGCGAGACAGTCTAAGCGTGGGGATCAGGGGACGCACTCAGCAGACTGGGACGCCGCGCCTGCAGCATCTTTGCGTTTGGGCTCGAGGACGGCGAGGACGGCGAGGGCGAGCTCGAGTAGGAGCTGCCCGACGAGCTGTCGACGGCCTTGGAGTGGTAGCCAGCCGTCGCCGATCGGCCGGTGGGGATGGTGATGGACGACGACATGGCTGCGGGACGAAGAGGGCAGGAGCAGGAAGCAGCAGCCTAGTCTTCGGCGAGCTGGGAGAGTCGGCGGGACGAAACGGCACAGTCAGAGACGGGGTGCGGCCACGGCCGACAGCAGACGGGTGACACGGGGTCTGGGCAGGTGAGGTCGACGAGGAGCGGGCGGCGATGCGATGGCCGCGGGCGGGGTCTGACGCTGGTTCGGGCGGCGAGGTGGCGGTATGTACAACGTACGAGCACGACGAGGAGGAAGCAGATCCGAGGCGGGCTGGGTGAGGAGGAAGGATGCCGAGATGCAAGGTTCCGGCGTTGAGGTGGAGGCCACTTCTCGGCACGGGATAAGGTAAGGCAAGGCAAGGCACGGTACGTACAGCTACGTACTTGTACTGGCAGGCACTGGAGGCTGGTGGTGGCCGAGGCGGTTGGATGACTGGAGGCGGAGGACCCTAGGGGAGGGATGGCTTGCTGGATGCAGTGCAGTGGGCGCCAACCACGGTGAGCCCAGGTTCCGGTGAACGGAGGGCGGGTGACGTGACTGTGACTGTGACTGATGCCCAGGCAGAGCCAGAGCCACACCAACACGCCGACTGCACCCGATGTGGTGGCCGGCGTCTACGATCCCGTCAACTCCCATCCGAGGCCCGGCCTGTCCTGGCTTTGTTTCCCAGGGCGCATCGGAGGTGAGGCACGCAGCTGTGAATCCGACAGGCCAACGACGGAGCGTCGGGGTCAGGTACCTGTACGAACAGAGGCACGGGCGGCCGGGGACGATGACATCCCGCTCAATGCAGCACCGACGGTAGTTGATACTCCAGTCCCATTAGCCTGCCTCACCGATGCCGCCGATGGGTCTTATCAGCGGGAGGTAGCGGGGACATGGGCCCACCGCTGCGAGTTGGGCATCGTAAGCCAATCATGCGACGAAACAGCCGCGGAGCGCTGCGCGTCCGAAAGCGGCAAAGACCTGGCTGATCCAGCCTCCGCGAGCTGAGCCACGAGCACTGTGGCGCTCAGCCCGTCACGTGCAAGCACCGGAGCTGCGGCCCGGGGTGACATCATGACTAAGCGAGATCCACCGCGAGGCTGCGAGGGCGACGTCGCTGCTGTCGCCTGGAGCTCGAGCTGTGCTGCAATCCTCGTCCATCATCCTCAACGTACGCAGCTGCAGCCCGCCAGCGTCCATCCTTGCGGCCGATCCCCGAGCGACCCTCGCACCGCTACCGCATCGCCAGCTGCATCGCCAGTCGCATTGCCGAGTCGACGACGCAACAAACAGACCGCAGACACAGGGGAAGCCACGCCACCGGCGTCGCGTCAAGATGGGCGACATTGCAGTCGAGAACGCGGCCAACCACGTGCCGCCGCACAAGAAGGCGGCCCCTTCGGCGATTCCCACAATCGACGGCTTCGAGGGCCTGCCGACAGACGGCGGCGACGACTACTCGTCGCTCAAGAAGCTGCAGCGGCAGTTGGAGTACGACCGTCGCCCCCCTTGCCTCCCGGGGCCCCGGCGCTGACACTTGCACAGGTACATCCAGTTGCAAGAAGAGTACATCAAGGATGAGCAAAGGTGTGTTTTCCCGTGGCATCCGTCTGCCCCGTGGACTGATCTGACGCCTCGCAGGAGTCTGAAGCGCGAGCTCGTCCGCGCGCAGGAGGAGATCAAGCGCATCCAGAGCGTGCCGCTCGTCATCGGCCAGTTCATGGAGGCCATCGACCAAAAGTGAGTGCCCCGATCCGCAACGCGTGCGTACCCCGGCCGCTGACCCTGGCAGCACCGGCATCGTGCAGTCGAGCACGGGCTCCAACTACGTCGTCCGCATCCTCTCGACGCTCGACCGCGAAAAGCTCAAGCCCTCGTCATCCGTCGCCCTCCACCGCCACTCCAATGCCCTCGTCGACATCCTGCCGCCCGAGGCCGACTCGTCCATTGCCATGCTGGGCGCCGACGAGAAGCCCGACGTGACGTACGCCGACGTCGGCGGCCTGGACATGCAGAAGCAGGAGATCCGCGAGGCCGTGGAGCTGCCGCTGACGCACTTTGACCTCTACAAGCAAATCGGCATCGACCCGCCGCGCGGCGTCCTCCTCTACGGCCCGCCAGGCACCGGCAAGACGATGCTGGTCAAGGCCGTCGCCAACTCGACGACGGCCAGCTTCATCCGCGTCGTCGGCTCCGAGTTTGTGCAAAAGTACCTGGGCGAGGGCCCGCGCATGGTGCGCGACGTGTTCCGCATGGCGCGCGAGAACTCGCCGGCCATCATCTTCATCGACGAGATCGACGCCATTGCCACGAAGCGCTTCGACGCGCAGACGGGCGCCGACCGCGAGGTGCAGCGCATCCTGCTCGAGCTGCTCAACCAGATGGACGGCTTCGACCAGACGTCCAACGTCAAGGTCATCATGGCCACCAACCGCGCCGACACGCTCGACCCGGCCCTGCTGCGTCCCGGCCGCCTGGACCGCAAGATCGAGTTCCCCTCGCTGCGCGACCGCCGCGAGCGCCGCCTCATCTTCACCACCATTGCTGGCAAGATGAGCCTCGCCCCCGAGGTCGACCTCGACAGCCTCATCGTGCGAAACGACCCGCTCTCGGGCGCCATCATCGCCGCCATCATGCAGGAGGCGGGTCTGCGCGCTGTCCGCAAGAACCGCTACAACATCATCCAGAGCGACCTCGAGGACGCCTACTCGAGCCAGGTCAAGGGCACGCAGGACGACAACAAGTTTGACTTTTACAAGTAGGCTGGCGGCGGTTGCATGGGCATGGGCATTGGCATGGGGACAGGGCCACGGGGGCATGACGCTGTAGAACCACAATATGACTGTACTTGTACCTCGGCGCACTGTGCCTGGCGACTCTCTGCAGGAGCATCCGTGTGACTCGATTTTGGTGCCAAGGCGCCTCTCGCGATGCGTTCAGGAGCACGTTATGTCCCATCCGCGCATTTTTCTGTTTGTCCCCCTCGGAATCCTTGTCGGCGTGCAGGCGCCTGACACGCACTGTAGCATCCAACGATTAACTTCAAATACCTAGATGTCCTGTACAAGAAAGCGAGGAGACGTACCTGCGATGTCTGTGGACACTTGACGGCATGATTTCTCAACGTAACCTCATAGTAGGGGTAACTTCCTGCAAAGGCCCTCCGTGTCATGACCGCGACCATGAAGGAGCACATTTGCGAGGCGACATCACACGTCTGCGCAGGTTTGGCCACGGTCAGCGAATCTGTCTTCTTGTCTTTGCAGGAGCAAAATTGAGACCGACGGGCCAGGAAGAGGGTGGTGGTTCTCCACAAGGGGATGAGAGTGACGGGAGGTTCACGCAGCCTCGGGAAGGACTTTGTAGGCTACAGTTACTTACAGCTTCGATGTGGCCCTGCTCGTACGAGTCCCTGATCTGCTCGGCTTCTGCCTGCGTCGCGACTGTCTGCGGGAACCATTCGGTGACGGCGGTGGCGGCGCGGCCCCAGAGCGCGATGGGGAGGGCGAGCAGGGCGAGCTTGGCGTGCATGGGGGGCGAGTGGCACGGTATTGGACGGGGCGAGATGAGGGAGGAATGAAGAGAGCAGAAATAGAGAAAGATGTGTCGAGTCTGAGGGTTTACGTGCGTATAAGTTGTAATCCTGGGTCGAGTGCTGTGGTGAGGTAGAGAGGGACGATGCACTGGCCTGCAAGGCGAAACAGCACAGATGCTTCACCAGAGGCGTCTGGACCACCGTGTATGTAACCAGTTCGGTATAGTGTTGCTCGAGCTTTCCTATGAGGTAAACGATTACGCACACGAGAGCTTCACTTGGATGGAAACCTCTCTCTCGCGTCAAACATCGTCTTCCGCCTGATCCATCCCCGACCCTCCCCTGCCACCGTCTCCAACAGCCTCCTTGCAAGCAGCATACCCTACGCTGCTTTTTGGCGCTCGCCCACAGAACTCTACATTGACAACGTAGCGGCCCCGTCTCGCACTCCCGCGGACAGAAAACGGCGGTCACTGGGGCACGCTCGTGGCCAGAATGCGGCAGGGCATCACGGAGAGGAGAGAGGAGACCGCAGTTTGATACCATCATTTCAATTAGTACATGTATCCCTTTTCCTAATCCGTCATGGCCTTTTGCGGCCGCTTGCTCCGTTGCCTTCTATACCATTCCTAGCGGCACTGGCCTCGTGGTCGGCCGCCTGCCACGCGAGGCGGCCACCCGGCTCAGTGGTCCTGACAAAGGTGCCGTACGTGAAACGCTAACATGAAATACACAAACGTAAGCCATTACAATTATCCATTACGCCGTCCATGCGGGTGCAACGCCTGTGCTATGCTCGAACGTCGAGCGCGGACGTCGCGCTCGTGTGCTGGCCACTGGGGCCGGGGTATAGGAGCAAGACGCTCCAGGCGGCAAGGTCAACAGCCACAAGAGGTGGCTGCTTCAAACGTATGTGCGCTCGTGGTTCACGAGCTCATCGCGACGCCGGCTTCCAGGAGAAGGCGCACGAAGCGGCCGTGCAGCTCGATGAAAAAGTCGGGCTGCCCGACCAGCTCCGCCAGCCCGCGGGCCTTGAGCGACGACGCGCCGCCCGGCCCGCCCATGCGTCTTGTGAAGCCGCTGCCGCCGGTGAGGAAGCTGCTGCCGCCACGGTCCGCCGCAGCGGCCGGGGGGTCGAATGCCGACGGCGCCGGTTGCGGTACCGCGCCGTTGTTCAGGACGCTGCCGATCGGGGACGACTCCCGGGCCCGCTCCGCCTCGGCCTCGGCCAGCTGCTGGATCCACGTCGCCATGTCGCGAAAGTGCGTCGAGATCATCGAGAACGTCTTCATGGCGAGGCGTTCCTTTTCGGTGCTGAGGGCCAGGAACGCGTAGATTCGCTTGTGGCCGCGAGCGTGTAGATCCGGAATCCGGAAAATGTACGCTGTCGTGTAGCCCGCCATGGCATCGCCAAAGAAGATGGCGCCGCCAGTGGCCGCTGACCCGGGGCTCTGCGTCGTGACAAACGACGGCGAGTTCACTTGGGGAGAGGACGTCGGCGTCGAAGTTGAGGGAGCCCGGGGTAGCGTCTCAAACGATAGGGCTCTCAGACATGAGGCGCGCACCAGGGAGAAGGAGTCGGCGAGGATGGGCTCGTGTGTCGATGTGTAGCTGACGTAGTGAAAGTGATGTGCCGACCGCCCGGAGGACGTCGATGTGCTCGAGCACGACGTCGTCCGCGAACTCGCCGGTGCGGCCCGCCGGCTGCGGATGCGCCGCGTCGCCTCGCGGTCCCCATCCGTGTCGCTAGACGACTGCGAACTCGGGGGCGACGCTGGTCCGGCGCCAAAGACGCGCTCGATGGGGGTGCGCGTTCGCAGCGTCGGGCCCTGGGCGTCGGTCACGTAGTCGTTGCCGGCTCCTTGCCGTCGCGGGAGCGTCATCGCGCAGTTGTCACACGGGCCCTGCTTCCTGGTCACCGTGTCGTCATAGGTGCGGCGGAAGCTCGAGTCGCGGCGAGGCTGCTGGAACATGGGCCGCGGGCTGTCGGGCGGGGTCTCCAGGGGGGACGACGAGCCGGCCGCTGCGGCCGCGGCGCGTCGGAACGCCGCCCGTTGTGCCTGGGCATCGGGCTCCGACGCCGGGGCAGAGGCGCTGCGGGCAATGTTCAGGTCACGCAGCGCATCGTTGAGAGCGCCCGCGGGGGCTTGCGACTGGGGCGCCGACGTGGGCGCGCCGGAGCGTGGGCGGACGTCGCCAGGAGACTTGGCCGCCCTCGGGCTCGCCGCCGGGTCCTCGAAGCAGATGGTGCAGGGGTTGCGCAGGCCCTCAGTCACCATCAACGGCGTCGGGCCGTGAGTGTCGCAGTAGTGAGCCAAACATAGCTGGAGGCGAGGTGTTAGCCAAATGTCTCCGCCCATGGTTTCCAAGCGGCACGCAGCGAAAAGCACAAAGACGACGGCAGCAAACGATCGACAGGCACGACAGCATCAAATGTCAAAAAAAAAAAACACAACGAGGTGGATGCCGGGAGGACGCCGCTCTTCAACGTGGCCGGCGACCCTGGGAACTCTAGCGGAATCTCCCGAGCCCCAGGGGAGCCGGGCAAGCAGCTGAAGCCGGCAACCACCCAGCGACGGGATTAATAATGCCGTCTGCCATCTCGACAGGCTCAGGTGGCACTCGAAACGCAGCACCGACCCCAGATTGCGAGGCGGTGAGCGGACATGGTGTGCAGAGCGCAGCAGGAGGGATGCAACAGGGAAGTGGTGACGACAGCGACGCAAGCAATAGGACAGCAGCGAGCCGCGATAGGTCGCAGCTCGAGCTAAGGCCACTGCGGCTGGCCATAAGGGAGTGACGGGCGAGCCAGCACGGGCGGCAGACAGCTGGCGAGATGCCTTGATGCATGCCGTCTGCGGCCGCATGCGTGGCGCTTGAGGAGGCGGGCATGTGATTCCGGACGAGGGCGGGCGTTGAGACTCACAATGAAGGTCATGGCGCATCAAGGACTCGTCCAGCCTATCGCGAACACAGTGTCTGGCGTGAATGGCGTTGTCGGCGTCGTTTCCCCGTCAAGGGAACAGGCGAGGGCAGAAGGCCGGCAGGTCGAGGAGCGCGAGTCGCAGGCGCCGATGCAGCGGCGGGCGGGCGGGTTGGAGGGGTATCGGAGGCTGCGGATGGACGGCTGTGACGAGACGAGAGCGGGAGCTGCAGCTGCCGTGCAGCACGTCGACGCACGGCTGAGGGCGCTGCGGTGTTGCGGGTGCGACGCAGTGCTGCGCTGGTGCGATGCGCTGTGGTGTGTGCCGTTTGCGCGGTTGCACAGGCTGCGGGATTCGGAGAGCGGGCTCGAGTCGCAGCGCGAGGCGCGTCGGCTCTAGGGGGCCGTGGTGGAAGGGCGCCGGCGTTCTGGGATCTGGGAGCGAACGTGGTGTGGTTGCCGGGGTCTGTAATACGAGGGGGGCCGATGGTCGGACGCCGGGCAGCGACAGGGCCGGCGGGCGCGAACGAGGCAAGCGACGGGAGTGAGGCGGCGAGGCAGCGCGAGAGCACAGCACCAGCGAAGGCGTCGACGATGCGATGTGGTGCGGTGCGGTGCGGGAGCGAGGGAGGACGACGGGACGTTTTACGGAGCGTCGCGCCAAGTACGAGTGCGACGACTCGCGCGGGTGGTGGGATGCGGAGGAGAGGAACGAGGAAACTGCGCGAGCAAAGAGGCCCGGGTCGGTTATGGCAAGGTCCCCCAATGGACGGCAAGCCAAGGTAAGGTATGGTAAGGCGCGGTACTTTGTATGGCCAGGAACGGCGCAGGGCCCCGTGCGGCAGCGCAAGGTACCTCGTGGTACAGCGTAGCGTGCTCGTAGCGTAGCGTAGCTAACCGCAAGGTCGGTAGGAACTTGGTATGGGGACGGAATCCACGGAAGACGAACAGAGTTTGGGCAGGCACGAAGGCGGGTTCGGTGTGGGTGGCTGCCAAAAGTGCTGGTGCTGGTGCTGGTGCTGGTGCTGGTGCTGCCACCTGGTAGCTCCGGCTCGACGGGACGCTTGACTGGACTGGGCCGGGTCGCTCGTGGCCCGCGGGCAGGAGGGATGGGCGAGGCTTCCGGGTTGGGACTTGGGAGGCAGAGGAGGAGGGTCTTGGAGGGATGAGGCCACGCCGGCCAGGGATTGGCGATGGAGACGGGCGATACCTGGCGGTACTAATTGCAGGGACGGCGCCGGCCAGAGCACGCACACGTACTCCGTATAACGTGGTGCGGACGGGGTGCTTGCCGCGCCTGCTGGATCGTCGTCCTGCGGGGCTGGCCGTCCGTGGGCCGTCTTGTGGTGCGCTCGCCGTCGTCCTCTGTCGACACGGGCGCTCCATCAGCGATGAATGGACCAGTCAATCAGCCTCTCCATCACGCAGTCAATCAACCTCTCCATCACTCAGTCAATGCAATGCGTCAATGAGAAAAAACCGCGACCCCGCCTGTCGCGACCAACCCACGGCCTGCCGTCCAGTCCGGCTGGTTTATTATTATCCGCCCATCCACCCTCCAAGCCCGCGCCTCTCCGGCTGGCCCCAGCGCGTCTCCTCCTCCCTGCGCCCTGCTCCCTGCTCGCCAGCACCACTCGCCATGCGACGCCGACCCGCCCGCGCGGCGGCACTCGAAGCCAAGCCAGTCAGACATCCTTCTAGAACAAGCACCAGGAGCCCACCGCGGCGGGGTCGGTGGCACGGGCCAGCCTGCCTTCGTGGTTGCCAGTGCCAGCCATCCAGCGCTGCGACCCCCGGGCTGCCTTTTGCGGTCGACCTGCCTCGCAGCGTCAAGTCGCCGAGCATTCGTCCTCCCGTGTCTCGTCCCGCCGTTTCGCATGGCGACGATCGCGGCCTCGCTCGCCGTGGCAGCTGCCAGATGCAGCAAAACCGCACGCCCTGACCGGTCAGCATGACGCCGGCCGACGAACCCATGGCTGACACGGGGCCGTCAAATGCGCCCCTCCCGGTTGGATGCCCGCCCCTGCGAAACTGTGGGCACCGTGGAAGGCTTCCAAAATTCCAAAACGCCGAGCCCACTCTGTCGGGCGATCGTCGCGACGGCCGGTCCCTGACGAAGGGTCCTCGCCTCCACCCGCGAGCGTGACCAGCGTGGCCAGCGTGACGGCCGCGGCGTCTCGTCCACCCGCCGCGTTGGGCCGCTGGCAACTGCCGGACTGGGAATGGACACCCGAGGCCTCGTGGACAATCCGGGGTCCTTTGCGTCGGGGTCTTTTTTCTCATCGTCGGCCTGCAGGTTTGGATCCTGTCGACGCGGGTCGTCGCCCAGCCGGCGCCAAGGGGCACTGGAGCGCAGATGAGCTCACGTTTCGGCCCTGTTTGACCTCGACCCCGGCTCGCGCACGCAACCCCGGATGGGCCTGTGCAGGCGACAAGTCGAGCTGCACCCCGACTGACGGGATAACCCGGTTGGGCCACGCAGACGACGACAGCCGACGCCCGTGTCACTGCAGGCAAGAGCTGGCCTGTGCAGGATCCATGGAACCGAATCCCTGGCGCGCAATCCTCGTCGCACGCTCATCGACGTCCGCTGCCCCGGCTCGACGGCGGTTTGTCGGTCTGTCTCTTACGCTCACATGCCGCGGCCTGGTTTCATGGCGGGCGAAGCCAGTCTGCCTCGGGTATCTAGGTTTGCCCCGGCAAGGCCTGGAGCCCGCCACGCCGAATGGCATCTCGGCGCACAAGCCAGCCCACGCGTGCTGGCCACGTGGTGGGCTTCCAGAATCGCGGTACGTGCGTCGGGCAGGATTGGGCTGGACCACCGTGGAAATGTAATGCTGTAATCAGTCGACCGACTCTGGCTGGGATTTACACGCTCTGACGCCCTCGATGAACCAACTACGTGGAGCCGTCGACCGCGGCTGCTTCCGTCACGAAGCGGATTGCAGCGTCTGGGCATGGACTCACGGTCACATGAGCTCCATTGTGATTCAAGACCGGGTTTCGAGTATTGACGGAAGTGAATGTCTGTGTTGTGGCAAGATGCATTACTTGGACGCCCGTATCTGCAGGGTAACCGCGAACAAAGGCCTGCTAGGGAAATGGTCAAGGCGTGGAGCGGACAAGATTCTCCGTTTCGCGCGGCCTGAATCACGCCAGTCGCCTGCCTGCTTCTTCCGCCATGAGGTTCCTACCTGCCGCGCTGGGCACTCGTGCGAGGCCACGGCCCTGACTGAGTCGAAGCCACAACATGCTTGTGCACACTAGACCCTATTACATGAACCAGCCATGTCTGAAGCGACGGGACGAGCCAGCGCAATCTTTGTGCCGCAAGGGCTGTAGGCCCGTCGGTCACGATCGACCATGAACAAACGTCTGTGCAACTCGTTTACAGGGAGCGCGCCTCGGCATCCGGACGCCGGCTGTCGCCAACGCATTGCCGGACAAGCGAGGCCAGCCTGATGAGATGAGATGCGATGCGACGTTCGGAGCTTGAACCACGAGGCGAGCAGGGCGCAGATTGAGAGCCGATCACTGTCAACCCAACCCGGCCGGGCGTCGGCGCCTGGGCCGCCAGCAAACGACCAACGGCGACTTGCCGGTGAGTCGGGCGGGATCCGGCGCCGACGTCCATCTGCCGTGCCAGTGTTCCGATTGACACGCCGTGCGTATAAAGCAATCTCTCATAAAGCCACAGCGCATCGTCCGGGCACCAGGCATTTGATGCTGGCCCCTCGGTAGACTGCCGCTTGCATGGTGTCGCAGGCTGGGTCATGGATGATGAGAGCTCTTGCGAGGTATCGTGCCCGCTCATGGACTCCTCCATGGCCGATGAGGCTGGTCCAGAGCAGACAAGTTTCCCGAGCGTAGACTTGCGATTGCGCTTGTAAGCACCCTCTTCGTCTTTGTTTTGTTTTCGTCTACACTGGCCGTCTATCCTCTAGAGTGGGTAGCCCAGTCTAGTCTGTCTGTTTGTCTGTCTACTTCATATGCGCACACATCCGACGTGACGACGAGAGCCGACCTCGGTATTTGTACCATCCATACCGCACAAAGCCGCATCCTCGACTGTGAGCGCGAATCCAGCGCCCAAAGCCTTTTCTGTCCCTTTCTGTGGTGCCCACGCGCGCAATCATCGCAAAGTCAAACCATCCCGGCCCAGGCAATTACTCCTTCTTGCGCAGCGCCTCGGGCAGCAGCGCCACCTTTTCGTTGAACAGCGTCTCGGCGTCGGCCCAGACGCGGGCCGTCTTGCGGTCCTTGAGCTGCAGGAGGGACTCCTTGAGGCCGTCGCTAAAGGCCTCGCTGGCCTCGCGGGGCAGCATCGAGGGGAGGTGGTCGATGCTGATGACGGTGAGCGGGGCCGCGCCGGTGTTCTGGTCGGCGGTGACCTCGACGGGCACGGTGGGGTCGTCAAAGGTGGTGTTGATGCTGTAGATGGGGATGGGGTTGTGCGGGTTGGTGGTGTCGCACGAGACGTCGACGACGACGGCGAGCTTGCGGCCGGCCTTGGAGAGGAGGTCGTTGTTGACGAAGGGGAGGATGGGCTTGGAGAGGTAGATCTGTTGCTGGCGGTCAGTTGATGCGTCACAGCAAGCCACGGGCAGGCCTGGGGAAGACACGTACGGCGTTGAGGAAGATGTCGTGCTGCGCAATCTCCTCGTAAGGCCCGTCGCGGTCCTTCGTTTCGGCGAGATCCCAGCGGGTAATGTTCTCCTCAGGGATGCCCGCCTTGAGGAACAGGTCGCAGGCGCCCTTGCCGCAGCGGCCCAGCGCGCCGAGCACGAAAGCGGTGGGCTTGCGGCCGAGGGCCTTTTCGGCGGCGGCCACGTCGCCGCGGATCTGCTCGACGAGCTCGTCCTCGTTGCGGTAGTAGCCGCGGCCGTCGGTGAAGCTCGCCACCGAGGGGAGCTTCTCCGCGCCGGGGCCCTTGTGCGCGAGCTGCCACGAGAGGGCCTTGACGCCGAGGGCCGCGCCCGTGAAGCCAGCGTGATAGCCAAAGGCCGAGACTCTGCGACCCTGCTCGTCGACGAGGAACTCGAGGTCGTAGAGGACGGACCCGCCGCGGGGGAAGCGGCCGAGGACCTTTTCCCAGCCGCCCTGGTTCTTGTAGCAGTGCGCAAACGAGATGTGGTCGTTGGTGAGGGCAAAGTCCTCCTCGGGGATCTCCTTGAGGCCGAGGACGAGCGTGCCGGGGGCGGCTCTCGGCCAGCCGCCCGCGGGGACGAGCTTGGCGCCGGCGGCCGCGTACTCGGCGTCGTCAAAGATGCGCTTGTAGTCCGGGTCCGTCGACGAGCGCTCCACCGAGACGGGGTAGCCGGCCTCGACGAGGGAGCGGATCACGGCGGGCGAGAAGGAGCGGTGCTCGAGGGGCTTCTGCTCCGCCCGGAGCAGGATGGCGGGGTATCCAGACATGATGTGTTTTTTGAGAGAGAGAGAGAGAGAGAGAGAGAGGCGGTGGTGATGCGGCGACGACGGGTCGATCGGTCGGTCGGTCGGTCAATTGGGGTGAGAGGTTCGCGAAGAGGAGGGAAGACAAAAGCCGTCCGTCGCGTGGCGTGGCGTAATGGACCACCGGTGCCGGTCGTTGTGTGTGTGTGAGAGCGGGAAAAAAATGTTGAGAGGGGCGGGCGGGCAGCAGCAGCAGCAGCAGCAGCAGCACGGAGCGGTGAAGCTTCAAGGCGCAACGCGAGCAAACAAGGACGAGGCGGCAACACCGGGTGAGGGTCGCGCGCAGAAACGGATAGACAGATGCAACGGACAGTGAGTGACATGCACGTCGTGCGCAGTCGCGGGCTCTGTGTTTATAACGGGCAATTCGCAGCACCGGCGTCGCAATGGCCTGACTCACGGCGCCCTGGGCCGGCGCTGTGATTTCGTCCCGCCACGAGGGAGCTCCGATGCCGCCCCGGGCCCCCACCGCGGGGTCGGCAGATGGGGGGAGGGCAGGGCAGGCAGTCAGTCATTCGTTCAGTTGGTCCAGGTCCCTTTCAGGGCCAAGCAACGAACGACCTCACACAGGGACACCAACACCCGGGTCATCATCGCGATATGCATGGGATACCTACCATTGAACGTGCCACGTTTCTACACTCCACGCGTGCCGCATCGTAAAACAACACCCATGGTCCGAAATCCGTGTGCCGAACTCACGTCGTGCATGGCATCGCAACCACCACTGCGGTGCCCACGGCCTTGCGTTCCCGCCCCGGGCGCGGCATCACCTGCAGCTCCGACGTTGCCTGTAAGCCGCGGCCTGCAGAAACTTAATATCCGCGTTTGTTGGACGACCCGCTGGCGGCGAGCTTGTCCGGACGACGACCGCCCGGCGTGCAGTGCAGCCTGTCCACCGTACATCTCAGCGTCGTGACCTGCACGCGGCGACGTCCAGCGGCATTCTATATTCCGGCGCCTGGCCATAGTCTCAATGAGTTGGTCTCTTCAGCTCCTAGACTCTCTAATCTACCCGGAGCACTGGACATGAGGCAAACACAAGTCCTCCCTGGAGACAGCGCCTTGGGAACCCTGTACACGCCTCTACCAAGCCATCAGACAGCCCGTGGTATCATTCGCCCGTGCGCCAACGCCGTATATGATGCCCATGCCTGGCAGCTCCCTCCATTCAGACCGACGCGCGTGCTCAGCCATCGCCGTGATGGCACACTGCGTAAACATACATGACATCCGCTCTGCCGTCCAAGGGCAACACTGCCGCTCTTGCTGGAGCTGCGACGCCCACATCTACTAAACATCATCGTCGTCATCGTCGTCGTGCGTCATGACAGCTCTGCCGAGGGGGCTCGGCGCAACGGAACTGCTCGCTCGGCTCCCCGGTGTCTCGCCGCGTGGCCTCTTGCGGCGCGACATCTCCACGGCCAGCGACTGGCTGCGCTTCCTGGCCGGCGGCGGGCTCCCTCCCGAGCTGGCCGTCTGCTCCGGTCTGTCACTGAGCATGTCGCCCCCTGATACGGCAGACCGAGCGTCGTCGGCGTCATCGTCGTCATCTTCCCCCTCGTCAGGCTCACCCTCGCGGAGCGTCTCGACCCACGCCTCGCGAAACACGATGCCCAGCGCCACGGCCACCTCCCTGGCCACGCTGTTGCCCACAATCTTGTATTGCGTCGCCGGCGAGCCCAGCAGCACGTCGTGGTCGCGCAGGCCCTGGGCGCGGCGCGCCTCCATGATGGTCAGCACGCGGTCCTCGCTCCAGTGCAGCGCGCGCCCGTTCTTGCCGTCGCGCGGGTTCTGCGTCGTGACAATCGTTTCGATGAGCCGGTCCGGGTACATGCGTCCGTACGAGTTGGAGTTGGCCTGCGCCTCGCCGACGCGGCCGTTGTCGTTGATGGGCGACCCCGAGCCCGACGCGCTGTCGGTGCCGGTGAAGAACGCCCGCTCCGCGACCGTCAGGATCCCGCCTCCGGGCGTCTTGCTCGCGCCCGTGCCGTACCAAGCCTGCGCAAAGTTCATGCCCCAGGGGTGCGTCGGGATGAGCGCGATGCGCAACCGCTGGCTGCGCGTGAGGCCCAGGGACACGCGGTGGTCCGGAAACGGCACGCAGGTGTCGGGCTTGGCGTCGTAGATGACGGGCAGGTCGGCCGTGGCCTCGAGCGCCGTGACAAAGTGAAACGGCGTGGCGCGCGGCATCTCGCGCTCCGCCATGGACTCGCCCGTCGGGAGCATGCCCAGGCCCAGCGACTTGGTCTGCGGCGGGTGCGAGTGCGTCACGAGCGGCTTGTCGGGGAGCTGGCAGCCCGGCGCGGCGAGGGCGAGGAAGACGCGCGACCGGCGCTGCGGTGAGCCGCACGACGACGCGTCGAGGAAGAAGAAGCGCGCCTGGTAGCCCAGCCCGACGACGGCGCAGATGAGCTGGCTGAAGACGTCCTGGTCGCGGTTCGCGCGCTTGTGCACGATGCCCGGCACGTTCTCCAGCAGCGCGTACCGCGGCCGGTACAGGTCGACAAAGGAGCCAAACGCCGCCACGAGCGACTGGTTCTTGCGCTGCGCCACCGTCGTCTTGTCGTTTGTGAGTCGAGAGAAGCCGGGGCACGGGCTGCCGCCGGATACAAAGTCGACGTCGCCCACGCGCGGCACGCCGCCGCCGAAATCGCCCGCCATGGCCCGCCGCTGCATGTCGTCGATGGAACCGAGGAACGGCGACACGCGTCCGGGCACCTCGACGTTGGCCATGTACGTATGAAGCGCCTTGGCGTCGTAGTCGTTGGCCCATCCCATCTCGATGGCTCCGCCGTCCTCGAGCCCGCGTCCAAAGTTGCCGCCGCCGCAGAAGAGGTCGACTCCGCGCAGCTGGGGCACCGCCGTCGCCGGATCCCAGCCCTGCCGCAGGCTCGCCGGCGCCGCGTCGAGGGCCTCACACCGCTGCATGCCGTCGTGTGTTTCCGTTGTGCCGTACGAGAAGAAAAAGTAGCCGCCCACTCCGTCCCGGTCGTATGGCGTGGGGACGGGGCTACCCTTGGGGAAGAAGCGGACTCGACATCGGCCGACGATGCGGTTCTTGCGGCCCTCGATGAGGCTCGAGCTGTAGACGAGCTCGTTGGGGGGCGAGGCCTGGCCGTTCGTGTCGACGTCCCGCCGCCGCAGCAGCCGCCGCAGCCTGTAGATCTTGCCGTCTCCCTCTCTATAGGACGCGACGAGCTCGCAGGGCTCGGCCAGCGGCGACTTGGTGTCGACGTGCACCAGCAGCGTGTCTCCCGGCCGGTACTGCGCGGGCCGCCGGCGCTCCGTCGTGTGCTTGCAGTGCTTGTGCTCCTCGCGCAGCGTCACCCACTTGCGCTCGGCGTGGACGTACGTCTGCCGGCAAAAGAGCTCCGCCTCGGTGGCCGACGAGCCGCCAAAGTCGACGTCGTGCACGCCCAGCACCTCGTCCTCGCGAATCTTGTTGCGCTCCTTGCACGAGCAGTGGTCCGACAGGAAGAGCTCGTTGTTCCAGGGGTAGTGCATGACGCCGCACAGCGTCTCGACGGGCCGGTAGTACCAGATGACGTCGAAGACGCGCTTGCCGCTCTTGGCCGTGCGCACGCTCTGCACGAGCGCGAACCAGCGGTCGACGTCGTGGAACCCCTTGGACACCTCGCGCTTCCACATGCTGCCCGAGGCCTCGTCGTCGCGCGGCGTGCTGATGGTGTCGCCGGGCTTGACGTTGCGGATCCGCGCCTCGGCCGCCGACGACACGTCCTTGACGGCGTCGTGGAGGGCCGACGGCAGCTCCATGCGCCGCTCGCGGATCAGCTTGTCGCGCAGATGCTGCGTCTCGGGGCCGATGGGCGCGACGGTGAGCTGGTCCCCAAACGGCATGTCCTTGAAGAGGTCGTACGTGTACTGCGTCACGACCGTCTTGGGGTCCGCGGCCCTGGGCTGCGGCTCGTAGGACGTGAACAGCAGCGCCTCGGACCATATGTCGTGCTTGTACGTGGCCTTGTACCCGAGCACGCCGACGGCCTCCTTGTGGAGAAAGTTGATGTGCGCGACGACGGACGACCGCAGGTCGGGGCTCGGGTGCTGCCGCCGCCACGCGTCAAAGGCGAGCGAGCTCTTTTGCGTCTCCTCGAGCCAGGCGACAAACGCGCCGCGGAAGTGGTGGATGTGGACGCTCCTCGAGGCGTCGCCGGTGACCTGCAGGTAGTCAACAAAGTGCTTGGCGAGGTCGACGACCCAGAGCATGGGCCGGTAGAAGCGCAGGTACTCTCTGGCGGGCCTGCCGAGCTTGTAGTAGATGCTGCGGCTGCGGTTGAGCCACGACTGCAGCCAGATGTGGCCCTGGGCCGTGTCGTGCTGGGTGCCGTAGTTGCCGATGGGCATGGCGGCGATGGGCACGCGCCGGACGAAGACGGGGTGCTGGCCGCCGATGCTGAGGACGCCGTCAAAGTAGAGGTTCCTAACGCCCAGTTTAGTGTCCAGCTGGTGCAGCGGCCGCATCTCGCAGGGGTACGCGGCCGTGTCGCAGTAGGCGGCAAACTCGTCGAGGTCGTACTCGATGCCCTCGTCGGCATCGTCGTCGTCGTCGGATCTGCCGAGACGCTTCCGCTCCGACGCCAGGGCCGCGAGCGCGCGGGACTCGGACATTGTGGGCGCTCCGGCCTCAAACGGCTCGTAGCATGAAAGCGGCGAGATCAAGTTACACTCGGGAATGTCCACCGTGAACCCGGCAGCCTGCTCGGGCTCCGACTCTGGGGTGGTGCCGGCGTCTGAGCCGAGCGACCGCGAGCCCGACGGCGAACCTGGAGACGCGACGGGAGGCTCAGAACCGGGCCAATTGGGCGTCTCAAGCTCGGGCGCATCTTCTCCAATCTCAATCTCTACATGAGCCTCAGTCGGGAACGAGCCCTCGGGCGCGGCGAGCTCCTCCCGCAGGTGCTCCATCTCCGCGTCGCTGAGTCGAGGCATCTGCAAGGTCAGCCGGGCGTCGGGTGCCACCAACACAGGGAGGGAGGGCCCGACCCGACTCACTACTATCAGTGCTGTTGGACATGGGCTTCATGCACGGGCTCACGGGGGCGCGGCAACGAGGTTCCGCCGATTTCGCAAACGAGCCGTTGTGGGAGCGCCATCAGAAGACACACGGCAGGACGCGCATGTCAAACCGACGCGGCTGGCGACGCGGGCGGGAGCGCGACGGGCGTGTCCAACTTGGTGCGATGTGATGTGTCTTGTGCAGATGTGGTGAGGGCATGCAAGGAACATGAATCAGACAACGGGCGAGCGGCCGTGCAAAGGTGACGAGGTGAGCTTTCAACGTGAGTTTGGACGTGCTGTGAATGAAGGCGCGAAGCTCTGAAGAGCCTGGCTCTGGGTTTGCCGCGCGCGAGACGTGCACAGTACAGCTCTCAGCGCACTCGACTCCACTGTAATCACGCCCCGCACCAGCCCAATGGAAGCGCCCCAGAGTTCCAGATGAGGAAACGCTCTGCGCCGCATCCGCCTCCCGTTGGTGCAGTAGCTTGCAGTGCTTGCACCCATGCCACCGCAGAATGGTCGTGCTGGACAACTTCACTTCACTTCACTTCACTTCACGTCACTCACTCCGTCACCCACCACCACGGACATGACCTTTGCACTCCACAACGGTTTCAAGACAGCAGCATCGTGGCATCATGATTCATCAGTCATTTACGCTCGTAGCCCCGCCGGTCATCGCCTGCGACGGAACCGGCTGTTGAACCCTGGCCCGCCCTTGGCCCCCGAGTTGCGCAGCTTCAGCCGCTGAAAGTTGGCGTGCGCCAGCTCGTTGACCTTGCGCACCGTCTTCTTCACGGGCCCTTCCTTGCGCGCGGCCTTTTTGGGTTCCTCTGCGCCCGCGTCCGCGTCCGCATACTCGTCGTCCCCGGGCTCGTCCATCCCGTGCACCTCGCCGCCTTGCCCGGGCGCGTCCACCGCCGGCCGCTTCGCCCGCACCGGCCGCATGTTGGCCTTGCGCGTCGTCCGCTTCTGCCCCTTCTTCTTGAACACCGGCAGCGGGTTGCCGTTGCGGTCCACCGCGTCCTCCACCGGGCTGTCGTACATGCCCTCGTCGTCGAAGCCGCCTAGGAGCGCCGCTGCCGGCTCGTCTCCCGCGTCCTCTGCCGGCTTGGGCGGTGCGGGCGGCCTGCTCACGCCGGATTCCGCCCCCTCGGCCTCCCGCAGCGCATCCATGTCGTCGTCGTTGTCGAGCACCTCCTCCTCCACCTTGCGCAGGCTGGCGACAATCTCACTCAGGCCACGGACGAGCGGCTTCCGGGGCAGGCGCAGCGCGGGCGCGTCAAACGCCGCCGTCTCGTCGACCGTCGGCAGGGAGTGGCGCTTCAGGAACGCAGGCGTGTCGAACTGCAGCTTGGAGACGGACGAGGGCGTGGCTGCGGCGTCGCTCGGGCGGCGGCGCTTGAGCGGCGTCATGAAGGTGTTGAGCAGCTGCCGCTTGCTCGACGACATGGGCGTGCGGCCGAGCCTCGTGTCTGCGTCGTCTGCGGAGCTGCGCTTGCTCGGCGTGGCGAGGACGTTGGGGATCCGGCCGCCGTCCGTCTTGGGGCTCGAGTCCTTGCGCGACGGTGTGCCGAGCTCCCGCTCCACCAGCAGGTCGAAGAGGCCGAGGACGCGGCCGTCCTTTTGCGGCGTCGGACCGATGGTCGTCACGGGGGCTGGGCTGAAGAGCTTGCGGGAGATGGCTGGCGTGTTCATGAGCCCGTCATCGTCGGGGCGCTGCTTGGAGGGCGTCTCGACGTGCCGGGTCCGCTTGACGGGTGTCTGCGCCGGCGGAGGGCCTGCCGGCTTGCGTTTGCGACTCCGCGCCTCGTCGGGCGAGAGCTTGCCCGCGAGGACATCGCGGACTTTGTTGTAGTCTTTGTACTTTTGGGCTGTGCGTCTGTCAGTCAGCGTGCGTCCCAGGCCGACCGCTCTGCGCGCACGGGTAGAGATGCCGCACCGATGTCCGGGTTGTCCTTGATGTCCTGGCGGCCGGGCTTGCCGCCGTGCGTCTGGGCCCAGCTGCTCTCCCACCGCTTGAGGTCGGCGCGCAGGTCCCGGGCCTTGGCTTCGTAGAGCGATTTCGTTTCGTCGTCCATGCTCGTCGCTGTCGTGGACGTTTAAAACTCGACGACAGCGCGAGGTGGTGGAGACGGGCGTGGGCGTGACTGCGCGTGGGAGACGCGTTTCCATTTTGGTGTCGCGCGCCAGGGTGGGGCCGGCCCGACGTCATGCTAGGCCGGGGCGCTGTGACCTGAAGTGGCGTGCCTGGATTTCTTTTGGTTCTGCGCAAACCGACCAGCTGCAACGCCTCCAAGTCACTCCACTCAACGTTTGTCGCTCAACGGCTTGCATTTGCAGCTCGAGCGCCAACGCCGCGGCGACATGGGAGGGGAGGAGAGCGCAACGACGAGCAACGAGACCGATCCGCAGCGCCTGCTGGCTGTCCGCGCCGACAGGCTCCGGCAACCCGACGAGACCATCGCCACTGTCCCGAACCTGTCGCTCCAAAGACCGCGCGACGATGTCGACGCATGCGTCATCTGCCTCGACCCGCTCGCGGAGCCCTGCAAGCTGATACCGTGCAAGCACTACCACTACCACTTTGTCTGCATCGAGGCGTGGCTGTCCTCTGCGCCGGGATGCCCGATATGCAAGGCGACAGTGTCCAAAGTCGCCCACGGGCCGAAACTCGAACAGATTCAAGACCACACCAAGACCGCCTCACGTGCCCTGTCCTATGCCGAAACCAGGGGCCCTCTCTTTGGCGCCTATGATACTCCGTCTTCTCCCACAACCGGACGTCCTCAGCTTGGAAGACCCCCGCGACACCTCTGGTCCGACGTCCTCTGGCCGATCGAGCCGCATGGCCTGGCCTTCCGACGTGCCGTCTACCGATGGCTGCGCTACTCGAAGCACGTGGGCTCGAACCCGCGCTCCGGCTACCGCGAGCTGTCGCGGCGCGACTTCCAGAACGCGGCGGTCCTCGAGCGCGCGCGGACGTTTCTGCGGCGTGAGCTCCGCGTCTTCAGCTGGCTGACGACGCCCGAGGCAGATACGATGGAGATGCTCAACGGCGAGACGTACGACTTTTTCGAGCGCCGGAAGAGGGTCATCACCGTGGAGCGCATGATGGGCCACATTCTGCGCCTGCTGCAGCACTTTGAGATTCGCGGCAGCGACGGCGGCCTCGAGGACGTGGTGGCGCGGCACCTGGGGCGCGAGAACACGCAGCTCCTGCTGCACGAGCTGCACGCCTTTCTGCGCAGCCCGTTCGAGAGGCTGGAGGACTGGGACCGCGCCGTCCAGTACGACCCCCCGCCGGGGCCTTCTCCCGAGATGCCCGACATTCCGGAGCGGCGGCCGCGCCAGAATTCTTTCACGAGCGAGCGATATTCACAGCGGTACAGGGATAGACGGGACCCGATTCGGCCCGCCAGGACGCATGCGAGGGCACCGGCGTGGCGTGGTGGGCAGCGGCAGGTGAACCCAGGCTCAGCGGAAGTGGACCTGAGCCCGTGCAAACGGTGAGATGCTGGAAGACATGATACCCCCAGAGTTGTTTACGAATAGTGAATGAATACACCACATGGAATGACCGAATGCGTGCCAAGTGAGGTGCCTGTTGCCGCTGCTGCGGAGCTGACTACCGAGTAGTGTGGGCGGAAGTCCGCCAGCTGACGACCGCGATCCACTCCCAGGCACCCGAGTAAGGAGAGCCAGAAACGCATAAATATGAATTGTCCGTCTTGGCCGTCTGCTCTGCTCTCGTTCTCGTCCATTGCCCATCAGCCGCGAACAACGTCTACATCTGCGCCATGACTGCCTTTGAAATCACCATCATCTCCGACACAGTCTGCCCCTTTTGCTACCTCGGCCGGGCGCGCCTCGACCGCGCCATCGCCCTGTACCGCAAGACGGTCCCCGGCGGATCCCTCCCGTCGACGACCTTTACGATCCGCTGGCACGCGTACCGCCTGGGCGACGCGGCGGGGCCGTCGGTGCCCGTGCGGGACGTCGCGGCGGCTCGCTTCGGCGCGGACCGGCTGCCGGCCAAGCACGCGCGCATGGCGCAGCTGGGCGCCGAGGAGGGCTTCGCCTTTACGTTCGCTGGGCGCATCGGCCCGACGCGGGACTCGCACCGCGTGGTGCAGCTGGGCGCGCGGCAGGGCCCGGCGGTGGCGGACCGGGTGATGCGCGAGGTGATGCGCATGTTCTTCGAGGAGGGCGGCGACATTTGCAGCTGGGAGGACCTGGCGACGGCGGCGGAGCGGGCAGGGTTGGACCGCGCCGAGGCGATGCGGTGGCTGGAGGACGGGCAGGGAGGCGACGAGGTCGACCGCGAGGTGGAGGAGGCGGCGAGGATGGGCGTCAAGGGCGTGCCCAAGTTTGTCATCAACGGCAAGCACGAGGTCGACGGGGCCGGGGACGTGTCTGCGATGCTGGAGCAGCTCGTGGCGGCCAGGGACGAGGAGGATGCCGGCAAGGCGGTGGTGTCGGACGCGGTGTGTGAAGCCGGAGCCTGTACTCTGTAACAGTTCTGTCGCCAACGCCGTATCGTCACATATTCATGAGCCCGCCCAGGTCCTTGTTCATGGCCCGCAGCCGCGCCTGCAGCTCGCGCTTCTTGGCCTCCATCTGCCGGGCCTCGTCCTCTTCGCGGCGCAGGTCCTCCTCGGTCCAGAGCTCACTCTCATCCTCGGCCTCTTCCTCGTCCTCCTCGTCGTCCCGGTCCATCCAGCCCTTGTTCATGCTCGCCAGCTGCTCGGCCTGCGCCGCGACCTTGGCCTCGTAGTAGGCGGCCGTGTTCTTGCCGTTGCGGTGCTTGGCGCGCAGGGCGGCGATGCGGTCGCGCGCCCCGGGCAGCTCGTAGACGCCGCACAGCTTCTCGGCGCCGCGCAGCAGGACCTCGACGTCGACGTCGCCCCCGGCGGCGGCGGCGGCCCCGCGGCGCAGCTGGTCGTGCATCTCGCCGCCGAGAACGGCCGCGACGGCGGTGTGGCGGCGCGGGTGCGTGGAGCCGCGCGTGGGCGGACCGGTGGTGACCTCGCCCGACGCGACGTTGAAGACGGTCTGCCGGCGGGCGGCAGTGGGCTGGGCGTCCAGGGCGGGCTGCTCGCCGCTGCGGGAGGAAGTGGCCGGCGGTGGTGGGGGAGGCACAGAGAAGAGGGCGCGCTCGTGCGGCTCGGTGTCGCGGATGAGGGAGGTGATGTCGTGGTTGGAGAGGAGAGCATTGGTAAAGATTTTGGGCGGCGGGAAGCTGGAGAGGGAGGGTCAGCGTGAGGCCAGCAACGATGGCGATGGCGATGGCGACGTTGGTGGTGAGGGGCTGTTGTTGACTTACGGGAGCGCGTCAATGCCCTGGCATGAGTAGGAGATTTGGTCGAGGTGCGCAGCGAGGAGAGACATGTTGGCTACGTCGGCACGGGCGAGCTCTCCGTGACGATGACGCACGCAAAGAATGGGTGTCGACCTGAGGCCGAGGTCGGTTGGTGATGCCAAAAGTTTACAGTGACGTTGGATGTGGTGTCCAGACGCGATGCCCCACGGCGCGTGCCTGGCGGCTCTTGTCGCAGAACCGCCCAGCCCCACCACCGTCACAGATCCTCGGATCCGTGGATGAGCCGCGCGGGCATGCATGAGGTGAGCTGGACCGGGCACCCATGGACCCCGCCATCCGTCCCGAACATCAGACGTTCAAGGCATGTGCGAACAGGCTCGGCAGGCCCCTGGGCATTTGGGATGACAGCCGTCCTTGCATAAACACTCGCCCTTGCTGTGCTGGCGCTGGCTTCGCTGACGGCCCGCCCTTGCATCTGGAAACACACCTGCCTCTCCAGTGCCTCTGCTGACGATTCGAACCGGGGTGCCGCCCTCATCCCGCCCACAGCCGCCAGAGAGACCAGTAATACAACACGTACCTGCGTATCGGCGACACCAGGGCGGCGGCGCGGCACCACAAGTTGGTGCAATTTAAACGGCGCCACCGAAAAAAAAAAGAGTTTGTGACCAGGATGGCAAATGGGCCGGGACTAGCACTCCGTATCCCAGCGTCCCGACGGCAGCGTGGTGCGGGTCGCCGACAAGCGAAATGCAGTGGGTGGTTAATATGCGTGGCTTGGCTGGGAAAGCGTTCAGCGGCAAACAGTGGGCTGCCTGGTGATTACGAGCACGTCCAAGCTCGTTCGTGATGGCCGCGGGACGGTGGACATGCGCTCGTATGTGCCCCGTGAAGCGCGCAGAAAAACGAAGGCGGCCACCGTGTGCAGCGCGTGTCGTCGGAACACGAACTCTATCAAACAGGTGGTGGGTGCGAGCGGGAGCACGACGTGAGCGGCGGCCCTTCACGATGGCGGGACGTGGTGACAAGCTTTCACAAGCACCACCTGCCGGCGTTCAGGGGTTCGTGTCAGGGGCTGCCCGATTGCCAGGCAACCTGGAAGGTTCGTCCCACGGGCAATCCAGGCCTCCAGGGCTAGCGCGGAACTGCTCCAGCGCCTCCCGCCCGCTGACGGGCAGAGCCTGCTGGGCGGGCAGCGGGCGCCTCACGCTTGGCACTCCCGTCGCTCCCGTCACTGTCCAGGTGCCCTGCGCATCAGCCCTTCAGCTGGAATCCACACCTGCACCCGCTGCCACCCCCGACGCCCGTCAATGATCAACCCACTGGGCCTCGCCGGGATCCCATTGGCACGCCCAGCTGGCAAGACACTGCCCGCAGCGAGCCCCTTCTTGCCCAGCCCACCACCGCCACCACCACCACCTCGTCTATCTCTCTCCCGCCCGTCTTCCCGTCAGTTCCTTGTCGACCTCTGTTGCTGCACTCTTCCCCGGCGTCGACCTCTGCATCGTCCTCCGGCTCACGCATACCCGCAGCCCACAGTCGACGCTTTGAGACAACGAGTCGCACCGCCTGCCTGGTGGCATGCGCTAATCGCGTGGTAGTCGCAGCCGCATCCGGCCTCGGTGCTTCCTCAACAGCACGCACCGCGACACTCGCCTCCCGACACTGATCGAGACCCTGACTTTGGCCGAGTCAGCTCTGCGAACCGCCATCGACCGACACGACAGCACGACATGGCCAAGATGCTGGGCACCGGACCCTTTTCTCGGCGGCCGTCGGGCCTGACGCGCTACGTCGCCGTGGCCGTGTTCCTGCTCGTGGCCCTGTACTTTTTCAGCAGCTCGAGCGACTCGTACACGTCGCCCGGCGCGTCCCTCGAGCGTCCCGTCAGCCCCGCGAGCCCGCAGCCCGGCGAGAAGATCAAGCCCGACGACAGGCCGAAACCCGACGCGGGCAAGCCCGGGTCCCAGCCGCCGGCCGACAAGCCCAAGACCCAGCCCGACACGAGCAAGCAAGAAAAGCCCGACGCAAAGAAGCCCGACACGCAAAAGGCCGGCGACAAGCCCAAGACGGCGCCGCCGGCCAGCGAACCCGGGAGGAAGAAGCACCCCATCGACAAGCTCATCTACGACGCCCAGCACCACTTCGCCGAGCTCACGTCCAAGGAGTCCAAGACGGTCGAGCAGGCGGCCCAGGCGTACCGCAAGCAGCGCGGCCGCCACCCGCCGCCGGGCTTCGACAAGTGGTTCGCGTTTGCCCGCTCGCACAACGCGCTCGTCGTCGAGGACTTTTTCGACCAGATCCACCACGATATCGAGCCCTTCTGGGGCCTCGACCCGGCCCTGATGCGCCGCGAGGCCAGCCAGTTCGAGATGACCATCAACGTGCGCAACGGCAACGCCACGGCCGGCTCCGACTGGTTCTGGACCAAGATCTGGCTCAACCTGGTCCAGGAGATTGCCCCGCTGCTCCCGGACATGGACCTCGCCCTCAACGCCATGGACGAGCCGCGCCTCGTCGTCCCCTGGGAGGACATGCAGGGCTTCATGCAAAAGGCCGCCAAGACGGTCAAGCTGCCCAAGGCCAAGACGGTCGTCTCCGAGTTCCAGAAGCTGCCGGAGCCGCGCAAGGGCAACCTGGCCGGCGAGATTCAGCAGAAGTCGTGGGAGCAGACGAGTGAGTGCTAAGCCGTAATTCCTCAAAGACTCAGCCCCCTGACCACCCGCAGAACCATACTGGCCCGTCGCGCGCCGCGGCTGCCCACCCTCCAGCGCCGCCCGCACGGCGCCCCTGCAGGAGTCGTTTGCCGACCCGCCGTCCATCAGCACCAAACACGCCGAGCCGCACCTGTACAAGGGCTTCGTCTCCAACTACACGCTGTCCAACGAGCTGTGCCACCAGCCCGACCTGCAGGGCCTCGAGGGTATCCTCATCGCGCCCCTGTCGACGTCGGCGACCAAGACCATGTTCCCCATGTTTGGCGGCTCCAAGCTGACGGTCAACAACGAGATCCTGCTCCCCGCGCCCATGTACTGGAACGAGGAGGAACGCTTCACGGGCGGCGACGACCACGGCGTCGAGTGGCGCGAGAAGCACAACAAGGCCATCTGGCGCGGCGTCGCCACGGGCGGGCTCAACCGCGCCGACAACTGGCGCGGCTTCCAGCGGCACCGCTTCATCGCCATGGGCAACGGCACCAAGGTGGCCCTCGTCGAGGCGGGCGAGAAGCCCGAGAACTTTGCGCTCGCCGAGGAGCAGTACGGCGTGAGCGCGCAGCGCGACGGCAAGCTGGGCGAGTGGCTCAACGAGTGGTCCGACGTGGGCTTCATCGACCTGAGCTGCGACCCGCCCCAGAAGGGCCGCTGCAACTACACCGACTTTTACTTCCACCCCGTCAAGGGCCTCAAGATGGCCGAGCAGTTTGGCAGCAAGTACCTGCCGGACATTGACGGCAACTCGTTTTCCGGGCGCTACCTGGGCTTCCTGCGGTCGACGTCGCTGCCCATCAAGTCGACCATCTGGCGCGAGTGGCACGACAGCCGCCTGGTGCCGTGGAAGCACTTTGTGCCCATGGACAACCGCTTCACCGACTACTACGGCATCATGGAGTACTTTTTGGGCTACCAGGGCCGCGACGGCCACGACCACGCCGCGGAGAAGATGGCCAGCGAGGGCAAGGAGTGGGCCGAGCAGGTGCTGCGCAAGGAGGACATGCTCGTGTACGTGCTGCGCCTGCTGCTCGAGTACGCGCGCGTCGTCGACGAGCGCCGCGAGACCATGGGCTGGGTCGACGACGTGCTGCGGAACCCCTCGCTGGAGAGCACGTGGAAGAGCTGGTGGCGCTTCGGCGGGAGCTAGCCGGCCTGACGAGACTCTTATTGGAT